GTGTTAATTTTATAATTCAGAAACATTTTAAAGCTTAGAAACAACAGGAACCGATGGTGCTTGTATGGTCATTCAAAATATATAATTTTAAGATTGCAGTATGTTGAGTAACTAAAAGTTACTATTATGGCAGGCTCATTTTAGCCACATTTCCGGTCTTGCTTGCTGATCCTGTGCCTTATAAAGGGTAAAAGGAATTGACAAATGACAACTTAAAGTGACAAGACCTTAGTATGTCAGATGTTGTTCATAGGGTGTTTGTAGTGGTTTGGATAATTTGGCCAAAAATGGCCTCAAAGAAAGTGAAGTCTTGATCTAAGTAAAATGTATTTCCGAGATTGCATAGTTGTAGTCTTGTAGACATGACAGGCGCTGTGAGCTATCTGAACATGGATGCTATCTCTATTTGGTCTCACTCCCTCCCACGATGGATTTCTCTTGTTTGAATCTTAAAGTTAAGGTAAATTTTGAAAATTAATCTTCTACATATTAATGTGGCTTGTGGTTTCTTGATAAACTTTTGGGGTTCTGATTTCTCTTGTTGAATCTTACATTGTACATGGCCAAGAAAAATTGTTATGAATTTCCATTCTCGAGAAATACGAAGATAACAAAAGTTCTAAACCTCTTTGACTATTATCAATATGGCAGTAAACGATGTAACTATGCATTTAAATCAAATTTTTAAATATTTCCCAAAATATATGGACTATATGCTCATATATACGAAGCTTAAACTCTTTAGTGTTGTTTATAATTTTATAACCATATTATATATTTTATTAATGTTTGCTAAACTCTTTTTATGATACACGGACATCGTTTTATTTTTTAACAATTAATTTAATAAAAATTCATACAATTAATTTAATATAACTTCATACACAATTTAAATTAAATTAGTAGATTAATCATTATGAAATCTCTATTATCTAGAGAAACAGAGACAATAGAGGTTCCAAATTTTCATGTTTTTGAATTTTTCTTCAAAATATGTGGGTTAACCTTACAAAAATATTGAGGTGTTCGTTAAATGCTCTATACCGAAACTTACACTCTTTAGTGTATTTTTTTTAAATCCCAAAACATACTTTATTACTTGTAGTAATGTATGCTAAAAACTCATTCATGATAAATGGGCATCGTTCTAATTTTTTTACAGTTAATTTAGTAAAACTTCATATATTGCCTACATTAATGAATTATATTGCCTACATTAATGAATTAAGCACTAAAAATATATATTATCTACAGAAACGGAGAGAACATTTGGCTATGCGGGCTCTATGCCTTGTATCAAGTAGCTTGGCCACACTACTCTGATGATGCTTTTAATGAAAATGTGTTCCAAAAAAAAAATCTAGAGAAACGGAAAGAAAAAAAGTTCCAAACCTCTTTGACCATCATATTATGTAAGTGCATGATGCAAATAAGAACTAAGACCAGATTTTCATATTTCTAAATATTTCTCAAAGTTGGTGAATTAATCCCAACGAAAATATTGAGTTTTTCGTTAAATGTTCTACATACCAAAGCTTATATTTTTAGTGTTGTTTAAAATATTATAACCCTATTCTATATTTTTATTAATGTATACTAAATTCTTTTTCATAGTACACGTACATTGTTTTAATTGTTTAACAACCAATTTAATAAAACTTGATACACTAGTTAAATTAAATTAGTAGATTAATCATTATGAAATCTCTATTATTTAGAGAAACAGAAGCAAGAGAGGTTCTAATATTCTTTGACCATTATATTATGTCATTACATGATGTAAATATGCATTAAAACTAAATTTTCATATATTTTTTTTTCAAAATCTATGGGTTAACAACCCCTACGAAAATATGAAGTATTTCATTAAATGATCTATATACCAAAACTTACACTCTTTAGTTTTATTTAAAAGTCCCAAAAAAATATTTTATTACTTGAAATAATGTATTCTAAACACTTATTCATGATGAATGGACATTTTTCTAATTGTTTAACAATTAATTTAGTAAAATTTTATATAGTGCTATATCAATGGATTAACCACTAACAAATATCTATTATCTAGAGAAACGGAGAGAACAATAGTCTCAAACCTCATTGACCATCATCTTATGTAAGTGCATGATGTAACTAAGAACTAAGATGGATTTTCATATTTCTGAATTTTTCTCATAATCGGGGTTAAACCACTACGAAACTTTTAAGTTTTTTTTAACTGCTTTATATAGTGAAGTTCATACGATCTAGTGTTGTTTAAAATTATTAAACCACATTCTACATTTAAATTAATTTAATCTAAACTATCTTACGTTGTATATGGACATCGTTCTAGTTATGTTAACGATTAATTTAATAACATTTCATATAGTGTCTAAATTAGTGGATTAACCATTATGAACTTCTATTCTCTAGAGAAATAGAGACAACAAAAGTTTTAAACCTATTTGACCATGATCCTATGTCTGTAAACGATGCAACTATGCATTAAAACCAAATTTTCATATTTTAAAAATTTTCTCAAAATCTGTGGGTTAACCCCTACGAAAATATTGAGTTTTTCGTTAAATGTTCTATATACCGAATCTTAAACTCTTTAGTGTTGTTTAAAATTTTATAACCATATTCTATATTTGTATTAATGTATGCTAAACTCTTTTTCATGGTACACGGACATCGTTTTAATTTTTTAACAACTAATTTAATAAAACTTCATACACAACTTGAAACAAATTAGTAGATTAATCATTATCAAATCTCTATTTTCTAGAGAAACAGAGACAACAGAGGTTCTAAACCTCTATGACCATCATCCTATGTCATTACATGAGGCAACTATGCATTAAAACCAAATTTCATGTTTTTGATTTTTTCTCAAAATTTGTGGGTTAACCCCTACGAAAATATTGAGTTTTTCGTTAAATGCTTTATACCGGAGCTTACAGTGTTTTTTTTTAAATCCCAAAACATACTTTATTACTTATATTAACGTATGCTAAAAACTCATTCATGATAAATGGACATCTTTCTAATTTTTTAACAATTAATTTCGTAAAACTTCATATACTGCCTACATCAATGGATTAAGCACTAAAAATATCTATTATCTAGAGAAACGGAGAAAAAAAAATTCCAAATCTCTTTGACCATCATATTATGTAATTGCATGATGAAAATAAGAAATAAGACCAGATTTTCATATTTCTAAATATTTCTCAAAATTTGTGAGTTAATATCCTTACGAAAAAATATTGAATTTTTCGTTAAATGATCTACATACCAAAGCTTATATTTTTTAGTGTTGTTTAAAATATTATAACCCTATTCTATATTTGTATTAATGTATACTAAACTCTTTTTCATGGTACACGAACATCGTTTTAATTTTTTAACAATTAATTTAATAAAATTTCATACAACTACTTAAATTAAATTAGTAGATTAATCATTATGAAATTTCATTTATCTAGAGAAATGGAGACAACAAAGGTTCTAAACCTCTTTGACCATTATCCTATGTCATTACATTATGCAACTATGCATTAAAACCAAATTTTCATATTTTAATTTTTTTTCTTAAAATCTGTGAGTTATAACCCGTATGAAAATATTGAGTTTTTCGTTAAATGTTCTATATACCGAAGCTTACACTCTTTAGTGTTGTTTAAAAATCCCAAAACATATTTATTACTTGTATTAAGGTATGCTAAACACTCATTCATGATAAATAAACATCGCTCTAATTGTTTAACAATTACTTTAGTAAAAGTTCATATACTGCTACATCAATGGATTAAGCACTAAGAAATATATATTATCTAGAGAAACGGAGACAAAAAAGGTTCCAAAGCTCTTTGACCATCATATTATGTAAGTGCATGATGAAAATAAGAACTAAGACCAGATTTTTATATTTATAAATATTTTTCAAAATTTGTGAGTTAATCCCTATAAAAATATTGAGTTTTTCGTTAAATGCTCTACGTACCAAAGCTTAAATTTTTTATTGTTGTTTAAAATATTAAAACCCTATTCTATGTTTGTATTAATGTATAAAAAACTCTTTTTCATGTTACATGAATATCGTTTTAAATTTTTAAAAATTAATTAAATAAAACTTCATACACTACTTAAACTAATTTAGTAGATTAATCATTATGAAATCTCTATTATCTAGAGAAACGGAGACATTAGAGATTCTAATATTCTTTGACCATCCTCCTATGTCATTACATGATGAAACTATGCATTAAAACCAAATTTTCATATTTTGAATTTTTCTCAAAATCCGTTGGTTAAACCTTACAAAATATTGAGTTTTCGTTAAATGCTCTATATATCGAAGCTTACACTCTTTAGTTTTATTTAAAAATCCCAAAACATATTTTATTACTTGAAATAATGTATTCTAAACACTCATTCATGATAAATGGACATTGTTACAATTTTTTAACAACTACTTTAGTGAAACTTTATATGTGCTAGGTTAATGGATTAAATACTAACAAATATCTATTATCTAGAGAAACAGAGACAACAAAAGTTTCAAATTTCCTTGACCATCATCTTATTTAAGTGCAAGATGCAACTGAGAACTAAGACCAGATTTTGTATTTCTGAATTTTTCTCAAAATCTGGGGTTAAACCACTACTAAACTTTATATATGCTTCTCCCAGTTGAAGCAGAAACTTGACACCCCTCTCCGTAAATCTAGGTGACGGATCCATTGATTCCGTATATCAAATCAATGTTCTAAGTAAACAAAGACTTGTAAATCCAATAGCAAAAGATCGATAAATAAGAACGATCTTCAACAACATGAATTCATTACAACTTTCCTGGAAATATCTCAGATACTAGATGAAGAAAAAACTAACAAACTCTCAATACTTTCTTGATTATCTTCCATCTAAGCTTGCTATATAAATCTCATCTGCTGACGTGTTATGTCCACGTGGCATCTCTCTCCTTTTCCTGTACCAGATCCGCCTCCTACACCATGCCACAGCTGCCTTATGTCTTGTTGCTGGTGTTGTTGCTTCTGCAGCTTTTATTGCCTCTCATGCACTTCCCACTCTTGTTGTTGCAGGTTCCCTGTGTAGTCCCTACCTCCCTCACAGTTTCAAAAAAGGATTTACCTAACATTTGTCAGCTCAATGCTGCTGCCAAAGAAATTTTTGTGTTCAACAAAGATCTCGGTACCATTGACCGTCGTGTGTCCTGCCTGCACACGGGGATTAAATACGACAAGCTTTTCATTCGGCTTGGACTGGAGAGGGGAAGGGACGTGTATTTTCTTTGGTTCACCAACATTAACAAATCTAGATCGTTGCTTTTTGAAGAGATCCATCTTTCCCGAATGTAAGCTTATCAGTTTTTTATATGCTTGTTAGTTGGTCACTACCTAAATTGTTATGTTGGGCAGCCATGGTAATCTTTAGCTACGCATAATGATCCATAGAGATAGTGCATAGTTTTTAACACTACCATCATCTTCCGACAATGTTTTCTTTTTTTTTTGTAAGACCAAATTATATTAAAAAGCTCAAGGAGCATGAAAGTTTACAAATGAAGCAGAAAATCCCGTAGACATGCTCGTCGATACAAAAAAAGTAGAAAGCATTACGAAACATAGAAAGATAAAATTTATAAGAGGCGAGTCAAGCTCAGCGAGATAAAGAATCCCATGGAGAAGTTTCACATTAATCCCTAAGGCTTTTGTTCGCAAGAACAATTGATAGTCCAAATCGACGTTAATACACCAATAAGAAACGGTTGGACTATTACCCGCCAAGAGCTTTTGGTGTGAAGCTACCGGACCTTGGGCAACACCAAGAAGAAGAAGTCCTATATGACTTAATTTGATACTGAAGTTGGCACAATCAGTCCTAAATTTAACAAAGCTTCTCAACGAGACTAGTTAAATCTCAAAAGCTAGCTTAGCCTTCATATGGACGCTTAGGACAATGGAGTTAGATGATGGATCAGGTCAAAACTTTGGACCTCAACATTACCATGTCGAAGCTAATAGTGTGTAACCAGAATAGACCTAAGAATATTATCATCACACTCGTTCTGGTTTAGTGTGTTTGAGAAAACGTCGAGTAAGAGGCAGAGTGTTTCAGTATGGTCTCAGTATGGTCGAGTCTCCTTGCACTAGACTTCGGAGTGTTCCTCCGACAATGTTTTCTTTCATGAACAGAAATACCTTTGGATGATCTTGCAGTTTTTAGAACAAATTTTAAAGATGCAAAACCATAAGCATTATTACTAACAACAGATATTCAGCAACGTACAACAGATGCATTGCAATAACATGGTAGGTTTTCATGAAAAATATAGTTGTATCAGCCATAGATTGAGTGAAACCATCAGCTAAGAATACAGAGGTGAAATTTTGGATCCATTGTCTAGAGGCTTATTGTAAATCATATAAGATCAATTACAAAACAGTATACATCATCTGAAAGTAGGGAATTAGGGGTATTTGAAGTGATGTGGGAGCAGCAGAGGTTGGAAGCCGTGGCTGAGACAAGCTTCCCATACTTGGTCCAAATCTGAGAGAAGAATGGATGTGCCGCACTCATGCATTTCCCATCCTTCTAAGGCGTGCAATATGCCAGCCACTCTAGTTGCACTCATAGCCTTCCTCGGTAACCAATTCTGCATATGTGTTTATTAGTTAGTTATGATATCTACAAAAACTTTTGATTGAATTGGATATCTTTGTATACTTACTTCACAGGAGTGGATATTCACCAGAGATTTTGGAATTCTTAAAGCCGGTGGTGTATGATAGATACAATCTCTACGCAACTGCTTGAGGGGGAACTGTGAGAATGGGATAAATAATGTTCCTTTTGTGGCATTCTCCTGCTCCTCTCTTGTTGTTCCTTCTCCCATCAACCATACCTTTAACCAAAATTCATTAGTTTCAATATGCTCTACGATTTTTCTGCAACTTTTATTGTATGCTTAGTTACCTTGTTTGATGCGAGTGCTTCAGAGGTTAGAAGGACCAAACGGTCTCTGCATTCTTGTGGAACAAATGATCTTAGTTTCTCATACTCTTCTGATAATAGAGTCGAGACCTGCAAATAACACTTACAAGAAAATGTAATGAATTAGATATATAATACAGCTTAAGAAAGCATGGACAGGTGAAGGTGCGGACTTGAGCTTTTCTCCTACGGACATAAGGAATTCAAACTCATTTTTCTCTTACTTTAGGCAGTGACACGCAAAAAAATAGAAAAGGAAAACGGAGGAGAAAAGCACAACCTGAACACCTCTCTGGCAAAGAGCAGAAGCGATGGTGTATGCCACCTTTGTAAGATTGCCTGTCATCACTATTTTTGTCGTTGATTTGGGTAGACTATTGATCACAACGGCTGCTGTTAATCTACTGCCGTCCACCACTCTGACTTTCATTTCTGGATGCTTGTGAACATACACCTCTCCATTCATGTTTAACTCCTCCCCCTGTTTCAACCCACCACAGTTTAAATATTATGACATGACATCTCTCACCAGTGAAAAAAACAAAACAGTCGAAGCTTGTTTCTGTACTTGGTTCATGAGACCCAGGCTAAGCACCTTCACTCCTTTTTTATTTGCCTCCAGTATCGCTTGCTCAATCATGTTGTTGATCGCGTCTTTCCTCCATTTTAACAAGTACTGCATGCATCAAGTCTCAGGGCATCAGTAAACCAACCTATACTTATACAGCTAATAAATTCACAAAAGAGTCAAACAAATTAAGCTGAAAATGATGAGGACCTGCAGATTATATCTGGGTATGATCCAAGACTGCAAGTTGAGCTTCTGGAAAGAGTTTCTCTCAGCGACAAAGAGGCTAGCGTAGAAGAGAGTGAAGAGCATGGAGAGAGATGTGAAAGGCCACAAAAGGCGCATGAACCATCTATAGGAGAAGGGGTAGGACGCAAATGAAGCCAACCCAATTCTCAAATGGTATATGGACTCGGGCGTAGTCAGGTGAGTTAAGTGCACGACGTCCACTCTATCGTCTCCTCTTTCTAGAGATTTCTCATACAATGTATCTGTGGTGTCATCCATTGTGCCGTAGATGTAGTCATACAAGGGCATGAAGAGGGAGTAGTTGGTCCGGAATTGGGTGTGGTGCAGCGAGTGGAATCTGCAACTCTCGTTTTTTTTTTTGGTCGAATTGCAACTCTCGTTATGATCATATTTTATCGTCCAAAAGAAGGATATTATAACAATAAGAGTGTTTTATCACAAAAAGATGTGGTAATAATAACTGTACACTATAGAAAGGCCATATCCCCTAATGAATTTGATATTTTACTTTTCAAAGGCTGTTTGGGTAAATAGGCTCTCAATACATCAAATTGCGAAAGCTGGAGTATGTGCATATCGATTAAATTGTCTTTTTATGTGAACCATGGATTCGGTAGTTAACAACCAAATAACGGGTACAAGTATATCACGTCACCTTACATGAAAGGAGAATGTACGTATACATGCAAATGCAAGTCATATATTTTTTCAGAAAAAAAATGCAAGTTATGCGGGTAATCTTTTTTTTTTTCGGCACACAAGTTATATATGCGGGCAATCAAAAATTAATAATATAAGTTAAACTCGTTGTTTGTATTTTTATATAAAGAATGGCTTCGGCCGGTTAATGCATAGGTAGTCAAAATTGTTTTTTTGAAAAAAACTGGTACTAAATTTTGATATATATATATATATAGCCGACAAAGAAATATATATATACACGAAAGTGCAAGGACTTACGAGGGAGTGTAGCAGAGGAACTTGAGGGGAGGAAAGAGGTGGAAAAGGCGCTTAGGGACGAGCTCGAAGTTGCAGTGTCCCATGTTGTTCATGAAGTCTATGTAGATTACATATCCGGCGAAGGACGCTATGGATGCTGTTTTCGTTAACAATGTTGTCAACAAAGGTATGGCGAAAAGAATGAAGTATGCTATATGCTCCGCAAATGGATGTATCACCGCTGCATATAATGATTAAAATATATATTACGTACTAATTAGGACGTGTAAAAAAGGTGGGTGTACTTTACGTATGTTTGATAAAAAATTATAAAAGATGAGAAATAAAACTTACAAGTGATGGGCTCAGTGACGATAGAGGAGTGGTGGTGGGAATGGTAGCGGGAGTAAAGAAAGTGGTGGTGAAGAGCTTTGTGGAGCCAATAATAGAGGAACTCCACCGGCCCGGCGTGAAGCATCGCGGCCATCAACACTCCATCTGTCCTCCACAAGGGAAGTTGCTTCGCCTGCGGCAGCAGCAAGATCCCTATATAGAACAACAATCCGTTGAACAATATTTGGTCATCCCTGCACGTGTAAATTATCAAGAATCATTACATATATAGTTAGCTCGCATAAAGCACAAGCGACGCAGTTATTATATATAAAATGACAAACAAAGTGGAAAACGCACCAATTGGTCTCCCTGTCGACCTGATTGAAGTCGATACCTTTGTCGACGATGCGCCTCTTTCCCTTGGTTGTATAGTAACGGGAAAGAGAGATCCAAACCTGGTTGTGAAGAATTCTGAAGAGCAAGAAGGGTAATACGAGCGAGTATCCGAGATCCACCGGATCATCACTCACAAACTTGTATATGCTATGGACAGCCCATGGTGTTATTACTATGTACTATTGTATTAATTGTTTCCACGTCCCATATCATGCATCAGAAAAACGGGATTCAATCATAAGCACGAGTTATATATACAAATATACAATACTAGTGTTTTAGTAGAACAATATACTAATATGATACAAATGAAAGAGAGAGAGAAAAAAAAAGAGAGTGCACCTTGAAATTCCCAAGGGATGTCCAAGGCCAATCGGTGAGGATGCCTGGTTTCGTAGCCATTGATTATACCGTCGAATGTAATATGGGAATATGTGTTGGTGTTCTCCAATTCTTTGTCACGGCCGATGAGTACATTTATATAGAAAAGGTATCAAACTCTTTGGTAGATGTAGAATGACGAAGCCAACCCCTATCTTCCCACCAGCCCGCTTCCCTCTGAGGGCCCTACCTGGACCAAACATGTACGACTCCATTCGATACTTCCCACATGGATCCTCATTTATGACACTCAGCTAATCTCCCCCACACCTATGGAATATCGATTGCCGATTATATCATACGTACCCTTATGTAAGCAAAAATTTTCATCAGTAACGTAGATATATATGTCTTTCTAATTCCGGTGGTTTTTACTTTTTAGTTTGTTTTATGAAAGATTGTTGATTTCCCATCTAAAATACAGATGATGAACCAAGTTAGGCAATATTTTAGGTGACTGATGCTTCAGCAATTAGTAGCCAATCATAATCATTCACGTTAGAGCGCCAGCTAGTGTATGTTGCTCCAACATTAAATGAATGGAAACTTAAAACAGGGCACGCATTCTTAAGCGAGCATTGAATACTTCTACATTTTCATTTTTAGTAACTCTTATCTCTCCCACCGCCACAAATATATACTGGTACGTATACCCTACTCACTCCTTGATTAGGTATACCATGACTGTGTAAGGCCCATTTGAAGTAATACCTCGTAAAGTGGTTGTAACTATTGATTTGATGATGCATCCAGATAATTATATATTTTGTTAACATGCTTAGGTTTTTTTTTAACTTTGATTTATTATAATATTACATGACAAAAATTACATAAACGATTTGATAACCGACAATATTACATGTCTTATGATCTACACCTAACTACATCACCAGAACCGTCCTATGAAGATTCACGCATGTCTGAACTTATTTACACTATATTTAGTTATGAGTTAGCAGTCTCTGGCGTATTTTTCATTTGTTATCAGTAAAGGGTTTTTTTTTACCAAAAAAAATCAGTAACGGTTTTTATATTAGAAGGATTGTTCAAATAATTAAGCAATTTATTGGATCTTTGGATCTTTTTCGCTAATATTTCTGATTTTATTTTTTCAATGGGACTAATTGTTTGTCCTTGACGATACATATGCATCAGCATGTGGCAGCAAACGTAACAAATGTATAACTGATTTACATTCTCGATTAAAACATGATAAACTGTAAACAAAACTGGAAGGGAAGCAGATAAGATGATGCAAGAAGCTGGAGAGGTTGGAAAAGTTTCCCTAATGGGTTGGAGACCAAAGAAGTTGTGTGATACCGCAGAGTAATTCCATGCCAACATCAAGCGCATGCATAATGTCCCCTACTCTCTATGCACTAATCACCCTCCTGCCCTGCCAATTATATAGATATGAAAATATATAATTAATCTCCATTCAGTGTATACATATATATATATATATGTTCACAGTTTATATTTGTAAAGCAACAGATATATCTATTTGTTCTCTGGAAAAAGAAAGACATCATTAATTTATATAAATTTAACAATATGTATGCCTTCATCTGCTCTTTTCCCTATTCCTTCACCCACCAACCACATTATTGGGGAGTCGTAATTCGTAGACAGTACCAGATTCTTGACAGCCCTAGCTTTGATGAGTTTGCTATGTTCCTCCGTGCGTAATAGCACCAACTATATGGCTATATATTTATGTATACCCATGCATTTATGTTATTTATTTAAGTTCGGTTTTGACTTAAGCTGATTGGATTCCATTTTCATACATCACATACCTACACGCTCCTTTGACATAAGAGCAAGGACAATTCCTCTAAACACAACCTACTTGTTCCCCTCTCGAATGCTATTCACCACTACCGCAGCTGCCATGCTGTTTCCATCCATAAATTTTATCTTCAGCTTGTGATGCTTTTTCACGTACATTTCTCCCCGCCCGTTTTGCTCCTCCCTCTCATTAATTGGGTGTTAATCAGTTGCTTACAATATAGTTTATTCATATATAGGATGGATAAAAATATTATTGAAAATATACATTGTTCATCAGGCTAAAGCTCGTTACCCTCTCACACCTTTTTCATCTGCTTCCAGAAAAATATCTACAGTGTTACGAAGTCCAACTTGGGAACTGAAACGTTTCGCATGTGCTTAGAATTTCATAGAGAGAGAAGGGGGTGTTAGTTAAATGCTTACGTTGAAGGCAGATTTGGGAATAAGGTGAGAGTGAAAGATGAGGTTAGGGAGACTGTTTCTCTCAAAGACAAAGGTTGGGGACGAGAAAGCAGAATTGAGGACGATGGAGAGGAGGAGAGTAAAGGGACACATGAAGCAGGTGAGGTACCATGGGGATCGAGAGTACCAGGGGAGAGAGGAGAGTGACGGGAAGCCAAGGCGCACCTGGTAAATGGAGTCGAGTGTTTTTTAGGAGGATAACGTCGGATTATTCCTACTCTCTCTCTCTCTCTGACGACCTCCTTTACAATAACGACTCACTCCACCTGTCCGTCGTCCCGTAGATATATATACTCGTAATCATCGTAAATGGGCATGAACAAAGATTTGTGGGTCTTTAACTGTGTGATTTGAGCAACCGGAACGTTCAAGACATACATATGCACGCATACATTCAAATACATATAAAGAAAGTTATGTAGATATATATATAGAATAGTAGTGTTGAACAAAAGACGTACGTGAGGGTATATCAAAGTAACTTGAGAGGGGGAGGTTGAAGAGACGCTCAAGGGAAAAGCTCAAAGTTGCACTCCCATGTTGTTTATCATTAAACCAACGTTAGTCATGTATGCACTTACAGGACACAATGAAGAGGATCCCACACCATTACCATTGGGTTGGGTATGGTGAGTAGTAGCGTGTCGGTGATATGGTGAGTAGTAGTGTGTGGATGAAATGATTAGAAAATTGATACGTATAAAAGAAATAAAAAATGGTTTAAGATACTCGTAGATGATGAGCTCGGTGACGATATAGAAATAGTAGTGAAAGTAGAGGAAAAGGTGGTGGAGAGTTCTGTAGAACCAGTAGTAGAGGAGCTCGAGGGGACCAGCGTGAAGAGCAGAGCCATGAGGATGCTCCTTCTAGTCTCCATATATAGGGGAAGGTCTGATGAGTCCGGGAGCTTCATGTTATATTCAAGAAACTGTTGACAGAAGGAGCCAATGGGTACTGACCATAACAAGGATTCAGGGAGGAACCAATGGGTATTGAATGTGATGCCCTGCCGAAATTCGGCTTTACCCATGAATGTCCGTACGTACAACTGTCCCACCTCCGCCGGCCAACAGTCCGTCCATTTAATAAAGTAAATTCAATATTTTGTACTTTCCCTCTTCCTCATCCTCATCCGATTCAAGGTAGTAGCCCGATGTTCAAAATGTTATTTTCTCTTTAGAAAAAAATAACACTGTAGGCATTATTACCTAACATTATAATAAGACACTCTTAGATCACCTTGAAATGAAATGGTGAGCGTCTCGAACCAGAACAGTCAACTCAGAAAGCCGTGCTACATCGACCATAACAAGGAATCAGAACAGCGACAGACATGTGAAAATATATGGGTATCGTTACATCTTCTCCTCTCTCTCAGGATAACAAACATGTGCTACATCGACCAAAACAATGAATCTAACATCCTGGCCATTTCTTATGCAACTGGTCATCCGTCTTCATATCCCGGTGCACGTATACTTTGGCGCTTCTTACCTGCAACTCAACATTTTAAACTCAACATTGCATTCCAAAGCACCTATTCTGGTGAAATACTCCCCAAGCTAATCAATTTACCAGAACAATGGGAGGGAAACCTCGCTGCAGTTTGATTCTGTCGAAGCCTTCTTCAGAAAACACGCACTTGTATCCATCAACAGACGGGTGCTCGCTGCTCAAAGCATTACAACTTTATTAGATGTTGACCACCACCAATGCTATCTTCTTATGACTAAGAATTTGCTTTCTACTCTATACTCACTTCACAAGGTACGTGAAATTTCTGTTTCGTAACTCCTCCACCACCATTTCTTCCTCTTTTGAGTATCTGCCGAAAAAAAAATATATATATATATATATATATATCCTCCTAAATAGCTAACAGATACACCCTCCTTTACATATTCAAAGGCCGTGGAGCAACACATGATCTTTTCCCAGTTAGTGGTATTCGTCTCCAAGAAAATGAATATGGCAAACAAACAGATGCCTCTCTCTAGCACAAAAGGCAAGTTGTTATCCGGATACCTTGATGTCTCCTTTACTTCTACCAACACTAAAAAAGGGTAGGACAGCTAAAAAAGCAGAATCAACCTAACTCACCTCCACGGAAAAGCATATTCACAAAAGCGCGATATTCCATTCATAGCACCAAAAGTGTCTATGTGAACCCACTCTTCTCCCACTGCATTTGCAGTATGGCCTGAAAACATGGAAGGCACCACGTAAAATTAATCATATCATAGAAAAAAATATCAACTCTAGGTAAATATACACCAAAAACAAAGATGATTATGTATAATACGTGGTGGCAAAGACTGGCTACCATATTTTCTTGTTCGGTTCCAAAGTAAACGCTGCTGCAATAACACGATATCTCGAAAAGAATAAGCACTCACTTATATGATGCAAGCGCCTAAGAGCATAGCCGCTTGGATAGTTATTGTAAGATGCCATGAATGTGACGACGGTGCACCCTGCACTATAGGATAGGGTTAAGTAGACTAGCAAATCCCTTTCCTTCTCTTACGTAGGAAAGATAATTGCCTATTATTTATACCTGATTGCAAATAATGCTAGCATAACCATGTTTGCCAGTTTCCAAATAGTTTTCTTCCTATTCTTGTAGCTGTACAAGGAAACCGGATTATAGTACGAGCTACGGCCACGTTGGTAGTAAGTTTAAGTGGATTAAGAAATGAAGTGTATCAAAAGAGCTCTTGCGAGACTGAATAAAAGAACGGTCTAGTTGTGATTGAAAGCTTAGCTAGCAAACATGAAACATCTGATGGAACTCATACATTCTGCTAGCAGCAACAGCAGCAGATAAATTGAGCATTGGCACTGAACTAATAATAAAGCGGAGTTCCTACATATATCAAGAAAGATAGGAAAGACTTTATCAGCAAATTGTTAACAAACTTTCATGGCTACTGAGACAATTAATCCATCTGAATACCTTGTGTGGAAGCTTAGAGTAGAGCATAACAAAGGATATAACTGGAATAGTAAGGAATGGAACCCTTCTGTCAAGTAAGATACCAAACTGCATAATCAAAAAGAAAACTGATGAGAAAAATAATGGACACACATCAGATCTGCTAATTCAAACGGAATAAGACAATATGATAGATGTTAGGAGGTCAAGTAATTACCAGGGAAAGAGGATAAGCTACAAGCAAAGACCGTGGGAGTGCTGATGTGAAGTACCAATGAATCGAATGTGTCTGGTTTAGCAAATAATTTTTCAAGGAACAACAAAGAATTTAATAAAAAAATACAAGCGCCACAATATTTGCAAAATAAGCTTTGGATTGGCGATGACACTGAATAATGGAAATCAGAAACGGTTATCATTGTATAAAGAATCCAAATCCTCTAATCAGACAGTGGAACAGATGCTAAAAGGTTATCTATCATACAAAAATAAATAGAGGAAACAAGTTTTGGAGGATACACCCCAGTCAGAACTCCGGTTCAGAATGGAGTTAAACCAGAAAACTTCAAATTCTGGCCAGACAAACTTCTTCCACATGATAGAGTCAACGGAAACGGCAAGACCTGTGATAAGGAATATTCCATGACCACAAGAGCCTGACTCGAAAACTAGTATCCGAAGGGAAAAACAAATATATCAAAGAATGAAGGGGGGCTTTAACTAACCTACAGCCACCACAGCGGTTCCAACACAATACTTGAGCGTTTTCCAGAAGGAGATCGATCTGGTCTGTCATTAATAAATGTAAAGCATCCAGCAACAAAATAGAGATACATAATTCAGAAATGAAACTATTCATCAACAACTCAACTGACCAACAAAAACTCAAGACCGATAGGTGCAAGCAATAATATCACATCGCATCTGAAGATTACAGTGGCAAAAATCTGATAATCAGATGAAAGACATGTCAGAAAATCAACAGTTCCGGAGGCCATGATGGTAACTATAACCGGCGGTACCACAAAAAAATCATACATAACATACCAGGAAGTTCAAAGCTGAATAGAAGTTTCCCTTAAACCAATTACCATATGCCAGATTAACTGCGCAACACAATTTTCACAACATTGGAAGCAAACGCGGGCTACGCTAGATGGGGCATGTGGGAAATTGCTAGGACAAAAATGGAAATAGAGTGAGATGAAGAGAAAAGAAGCACCTAATCCCAAAGCTAGAATATTAGGTAGAGGACGAGTGCAGTAGAAAAGAAAATGAAACTGAAGACTGGTGAGAAGTAGGAAGAAAGATTCCACTTGATGTCCAAACTTTACTCTTATCTGTCAAAGAGGTAGCTTTCGGTCAGTGTGCAGAAGAAGAAAATCGAGCAAGATGCATGTGAGATATCCCAATATTGATGACATGAAATAGATAGACAAGTGTGGAAGAGAAACAAGCAGTGGGAGAAGTTAGTAAGTAGAAAAGAAACATGATACCTGAATCCGGAAAAATCTAAGAGTGGATAGTATGATACAGCCCAACACGAGACGAGCTATATAAGTCAATGAAGAGGTTTAGGAATAAAAAGAAAAGAGTGATGGGTGATTTGATTCAAGGGTAAAAGGGAAGAAGAGAAACCTGCAACAAGACTATAAATTTTGGGGAAGCCAAGAAAGCTGATAATGAAAACAAGGGGCGATGCAAAAAAAGAGACTGTAAAGGCTCCTGCAAGAACAGCGCACGAGAGTTGATATGTTATAGGAAAGCACTAAATCGAGAGCCAACAACAGGACTTACCAATAAAAGTTCGAGGGACAACACCAGGGAACTCCAAATGATCGTACTGACAAAATAATAAAACAAAACTCAGGAAGAATTCAAACATGCTTTGCTTTAAGAAGAAGGAGCTCCTCACAGATTCCAAACGATAGCGATGGTAAAGAATATCGTGCATTGACTGGGGCACATGCAAATTCAGACGTCTCAGTAAAAAGAAAAAAAAGGAGAGTAACGACTGTAGATCTTGGCAAATGAAGAGAAGGAGGTACCGACCTGTACGTTAAAGCTCTCCTCCACCTTAGTGTATGGTGCCATGAGCACATAAATTGCAGCTATAGCTCCCAGAATCAGATCATATCCTGCTCCCCCCACAACAGGATCAAGAGTTTTCAATTAAAAATAAAAATGAAACAGATCATGAACAAAATCAACTACCATAGGATTGAAGAAACTTGGCCATTTTCGAATTCGTCGGCATCGTCTGTGCAACTTCCTTACTGATAAAAAGAAAAGAAAAAAGACATATGTAGAGATGGGCTTTTATGGGCTCATATGTATTTATATGGGCTTGACATTTAACATGTAGAGACGCTCCTTTGCTTATTCTAAACAGAGCAGAAGAAAGAAAGACGGGAGGGAGAGAGAGAAATCGGAGGGATGGCGGCGGAAGAAGAAAACGAGTTCTACCTGAGGTACTATGTCGGGCACAAGGGCAAATTTGGACACGAGTTCCTGGAGTTCGAGTTTAGGCCTGACGGTAAGCTCCGTTACGCCAACAACTCAAACTACAAGAACGATACGATGATCCGGAAGGAGGTGTTTCTCACCCCCGCCGTTCTCAAGGAATGCAAGCGTATCGTCTCCGAGAGCGAGGTCTTTTTTCTTTCTCTCCTCAGATTAGATTTGGTTTCAATTTTTCTATTTATGTCCGCTCTACCCTAGATCGGAACTCGATTAGGGTTTTGTTTTTTTTTTTTTTTAAACTATCCATGGTTTGCTATCATCTATTTTGGTGGTACCCTTTTAATCCCTCCCTCTCTTGGGCTTCGTTGGTTTTCTAGTTACCTGCGCACCTGACTCCTGCTTATTTTGTTTTGTTTGCATAGATAATGAAAGAAGATGATTTTAAGTGGCCGGAACCTGACCGTGTTGGAAGGCAAGAGCTTGAGATCGTTATGGGTAACGAGCATATCTCCTTCGCTACTTCTAAGATTGGTTCTCTCGTTGATGTCCAGAGCAGTGATGATCCTGAAGGTCTTCGCATCTTTTACTATCTTGTTCAGGTCTCACTTCTCTCTCTCTCTCTCTTGAGGATTTTTATTCATGCTTTACGATATTCCCCTAAACTCTTTTATCATCAATTTTTGCGGCTGGTAACACCAAACTCTTACCTGGTTATAGGGGGAGACATATAGCTGATTGATAATGTTCTCCATTTGCATTAACATATTCTTTGCCCTTCTTAACACATTCGTTTGTGGTTGCAGGACTTGAAATGCCTTGTTTTTTCGCTCATCTCGCTGCACTTCAAGATCAAGCCTATTTAGAGAAAGAAACCAGTTGCGTTAAAACTGGGGGAGCATTTGCTGAAGTTTGGTTGCTTTTATGTTTCTTGTGTTGTTAACTTGAAAACCCTGAGTTTCATTCCTATGCTGTTTTTTATTTTATTTTGTTTCTGTTGCAATGAATCTTAAATGAACGTTGGTATTGGAAATGGACACAATGGTTTGGCACTTGTAAGCGTTGGGCTTTGTCTAGGTGCTGTTATTTGAGATGAAAATGGGTAATCAGGTGTGTTTTCAGCTAGTTATGTACTTGCTTAAAGCCAGTCCATTGTGTCTATTGGTAATAAACTCAGCAATGAAATGGATGATTTACTGGGTGTGAAAATGAGGTTGTAATTTCACATTTAAAACCTGTCAGTTACTTACTCGTAGATACCTTGTTATATTGGATCATTTAGTACCTAGTACCACTGCAACCCAAGTTAAGGTGGTAAAGCAAGGGAAGAAGGTCGAAAAAAGAGTGTAATATGGGTGATGGACACGTGATTATGTCGGTGAGGTATTTTGTTGGTGGGTGAGTTGGAGNGAGGTTGTAATTTCACATTTAAAACCTGTCAGTTACTTACTCGTAGATACCTTGTTATATTGGATCATTTAGTACCTAGTACCACTGCAACCCAAGTTAAGGTGGTAAAGCAAGGGAAGAAGGTCGAAAAAAGAGTGTAATATGGGTGATGGACACGTGATTATGTCGGTGAGGTATTTTGTTGGTGGGTGAGTTGGAGCCCGAAAAGCAGACAATCTACGTGATGATAGTAGTAGGTAGGGTCATCTTTGTGTCTTTTGGGCCTAATTTAAATGAATACAGGCTTCCCTTCCAAGGCCCAGTTGCTAAATCTCCTCATCTTAGTCCTTTACACAGATAGATAGATCTCTGCTCCCCCCCCCCCCCCAGATTTTCCTCTGTTTGCATCATCGAAAGTCGAGACCAGGATGAATCCCGAGTAGTAAGTTCCTTTTCTCATCACCCTATACGCTTTCTTCAGTTGATATAGATCCCACGATCGTTTAGAAACCTAAGACCATTCTGTTTGATCCTTTTAGCGACTACCTTTTCAAGCTCCTGCTCATCGGGGATTCTGGCGTGGGGAAGTCTTGTCTACTGTTGAGATTCGCTGTAACTAACTGTTGCTTTTCGTTTTCATGGGATTGACTGCTTCTTTCATTTGCATACTTGTGTGTGTCAGATATCTTCTGATTGCCCGTGGGTGTTTGTTTGCAGGATGATTCGTATGTGGAAAGTTACATAAGCACTATTGGAGTCGATTTTGTAAGTTGTTTCAAACTTAATTTTTCTTGCTTTGAGCAGGCTGTTGATCTCACCCTTTTGTTTTTCTATAGAAAATTCGGACTGTGGAGCAAGACGGGAAGACGATTAAGCTCCAAATTGTATGCAACCCTACTTTCCTCTTTCTCTTTTTCTCCAAAACAGTAGTTAACAAGACAAGTTTAAGTTCTTAACTCTGCATATGATTCCTTTATTTCCTCATATCTTATCTATGCTTTTCATTAACTAGTTTCAATGATGACTGTATACTTTTCAGTGGGACACTGCTGGTCAAGAGCGGTTCAGGACAATTACTAGCAGTTATTACCGTGGCGCACATGGAATTATTGTATGCTACTACTTAAATCAGACTCTCTCTCTCTCTCTCTTACTAACTTAGTCTTCTTCTCCCTGGTAGATTGTCTACGACGTCACCGATGAAGAAAGCTTTAATAATGTGAAGCAATGGTTGAGTGAAATTGATCGTTATGCTAGTGACACTGTGAACAAACTCCTGGTTGGAAACAAGTGTGATCTTACCGAAAACAGAGCCGTTCCATATGAAACCGCAAAGGTACGTACGTACGGACTCTCCCTTCCAAGTTTTGTGTTCATCCATTTGATTGATTTTCTGATGTATTCCAAGGCTTTTGCGGATGAAATTGGAATTCCTTTCATGGAGACTAGTGCAAAAGATGCTACAAACGTCGAACAGGCTTTCATGGCGATGTCGGCATCCATCAAAGAGAGGTAATTTACTGCCCCTATCGGCGGCTAAATGCTCTTTTAAGATTCAGCATACTCGAAATTTGAACTCTAGCTAGTGGTCACTGCTTGCTTTCTTGCTTTTAGAGAACTAACTATACTTTTTATTAGAGCAGCGAGCGTGATGTTGACCCTGCAGTGTTCGAATTTGAAAAGCTCTGAATTTCATGTAGTTTATTGATTTGTGGTTTGGATGCAGCATGGCAAGCCAACCAGCTGGGAACAATGCCAGACCGCCGACGGTGCAGATCAGAGGACAGCCTGTAGCCCAAAAGAATGGCTGTTGCTCAACTTGATTGCCTAGCAATATCCTTTTCCCTTCAGTTTTCGAGTCCAACAACCTTAAGCCAAAATTGTTGTCTTTTTAGTTCACTTGTACTTTGTAGTTTGTTCTGTAATTAAGCTCACTTGTTCTATGGTTGGTTGTTTTTCTCTTTACGTATCAACATTTTCATACCATCACACATTTTTATGGCTGTCTTCAGTGGATTTTATCGATTCTGTCGTTTCGCTCAACAATGTTTATTAGAGAACGCACTGTTTTCTTACAACAAGTAAAGTTGTTTTTACCCAATATTCAAACTTCTTTTTTTGTTTTACAAGTAAAATTGTCTTAACCCAAAAACTTGCATTTATTAAAATTAATAGTAACTTAGTTATATTTTACAGTGGTCTAAATTAAAACCACAAAATTATCAATTTATAGAGATTATTAAATATTAACTTATAGAGTTTTAACTGTATTTTTAGCTTTTAAGAAAAACGTTTAAACAGACAATGAAGATTTGCATCGTCGCTCATTCGTATGACAAACAAGAATAGAGAGAGAATAGAGCAGAAACAAAAAGAAGAAGAAACTGAGTTATTGAGCCTCGAGGAGGCGACTACGGGCCCACATATCTCGAAGCAATACAGTCGGTAGCATTCATTCATCTTAACTCACAAGCTTGTTTCCTGCAAAGACGAAGAAAATGCTTTCATCTTCCAGTCTACAAAGTGTACACATATATATTAAACCACCAAGGTTATTATTTCTCCAATCAATTTAGAAAGAAAGAAACATTGACTTACCGTTTTCAAAACAAAAACACTCCGTTTTCAAGGTGACGTTGCAGATGAGATGTTCATGCTTTCACAGCTTCCTCTTGTGAAACCGAAATCCCCAAATATCCCCTGTCAAAACGGAACGCTCTTTACTAAAACACTTTTCCCTCAAAGCTCATCGAGAACCAAAATTCACATTTGAGTTATAACTACTTGAGCGCATGTCTAATTTACGCACCATTGAGTCATTGACAGCATATGTGACGCAGTAATGTTCCTGTTGAAAAAACAAAACAATAAATCAAATATTTACCCACATTTATATCAAAACTGACGCATCATCCAAAACAAACATATATACTGGGAGAGACCCTTGCTATTCAATACGACTCATCTTTCGGTCTTCTTTTTTTTTTTACTTTCCCATACATAAAATGGGTAGAAAACTAAGTTAATAAGGTGGAATGGACTTGCCTGCATCATGTGCCACTCTTCAAACTCGTCAAACAGCTCCAACCGCTCGATCCTGAAAACACACAACTATCTTACTTTAATATTGAACAAACGTCATGGATTGGATATATAACGGATCCAAAAGAGAATACAAAAATATAAACACAGGATACAACAAAGAGCTTAAAAACAAGGGAAAGCTTAGAACTCAACAACATTTACTAGGCATTTCTTGTAAAAGAGAACTTTTCTGAAAGAACTCAGGGCAGATAATCAATATGAAATTATAACGCAGTTACATAATTTTAAGGGTAACTACAGCACTGACCTGCGTTTTTCTTGAGTATCAACAAAACTTCCATACACTTTTAGCATATCCCAGGCAACAGCTCTCTAATACGCCAAAACAAAGAATAGAGTAAGAAATGAGAAGTCCATAGATTTTAGATTTTAACTGCAAGTTAGCCCTGCGTCTATCAGACAATGCAAATTATCTAGTTACAACCAGCCATCACTACCAGAACGAAAGACTGGAAAGTGCATTCTCGTCCGTCGAACATAATACGGTTTGATGAAAATCCAATATTCAATATAATGGTAACGTGTTAGCCCATTACCACAACGGAGTTATATAGAAATTGACAATAACATAGCATACAATTTTGACAAGCATATTTTCGTTAGTTGAATTTGCACTCAAACCCTTGCACATTTGCATTTAAAACTTAAAGTCGTATGTCAGATTGTTGGGCAACTCGATGCACGATTGCAGGCATTAATACATATAGCAGACTGCATTCAATCATATTGATATCTAACTGCAAAGCACACCTGCCATCCATTGTCAAGAAACAATCTCTCCTTTGCGAGTAAAGTCGGTGATGCGTCAATGCTTAGGAGTGCACAACCCCGACTCTGACGCACAGAAACACAGGGGTAAAATAAATCAGAACCAGCTTCAGTGAAGGTATATTTATCTACACAAAATGTACCCAAGAAGCAAAATGATGACATTTAAATGTTTTACTAGATCCGCCATAGTTATGCAAACATTTCAACAAATTAAGCTTTGCTCATGGAGATGTCGCTATAACTAAAGTACACATTCTTACCTCCAAGTTTATAATCATCTGATGTCCAAATGCATCATCTGGATGGATCTGCAACCGAAACCCAACGAGTTAGACAGTAAGATTATATACAATACTACGCGGACAAGAAAAAAAACACAGTTGAGAACTACGTAGATACAAAATGCAAGAAAAACCTGCTCATATAAGAAAAATACTGCATTTGAAAACGTGTTTGACGCCCAATTGACGATGGCACGGCTTGAATCAGGGTCCAGATATATCAAAACACATTCTGCAATAATAAATGTCGGCAGACTGGTAATGATATTAGGGATCAAGTAGGTTTATGACCAGGCAGCATACAAGGGCAGAGGGTTCAAAAAAATATGTCATAAGAGTGTGTAACATTAAAGGGAAAGTATTGATGCATACCTAGGATCCATATCAGCAAATGATATAACATCTCTTAGTTTTGGTATATCACGCAGGTCAACTGGAAGTAACTTGTAATGATCACTGAGAACTTGGCCTTCCTCTGCAGAGTTAAGAAGGAAGGAACGCAGCATAATAAATTGAAAGTAATTAACTAAAATACAAGCTAACTGTAAGAAAAAAAGGAAAAGGGGATATGCAATTTTAGTTTGGAGAGCTGGCAGAATGAAAGATGAAGAAGAATATCAGTAATAGGTGGACAGAACTTGTTGAGGTTCATGATTAAAAAGAAAGAGAAAGAAAGAAGCATTCTTCTACAAGGCTCACCAACAGAAATAGATGAATTTGCTCCTAGTTTGTCCCTCAGCAGGCTGGAGTTTTGTATAACAGCAGCCTTCTTACTTGTTACCTAAGATAAGAAGCAAGCCCATTTAGAATAATTAAGTCAGAATTCATAAAGTAAAATACAAGGAATTAGGTACCTCCTTAAAGTCGAGTTCCACGTACAAATAGGGGCCTTTCCCTTCATCCTAACAAAAAAAAAGGGAAAATGAGAAGAGAAGCAGTTTAAAAATAAAACCAAATAATATATATGTAAGAAAGAAAGAAAGAAAGAAAAAGAGGAGAATAGAGGCATACTAGTAGCTGAAAAAAGGTAGTATCGAAGCCAGCTCCAAGTGAGAGTATCTGTTTCTTGTTGGCCTGAGCAGTGTCATTGCCACAATCGAGAAACTGAGACAAAAGCTTTCGGAAGGCAGCCCAACGGGAAAAGTAACCTAAGGAGTGTCTCTGTCAGCCACAGCGACAGAGGCTAACATTTTACTTAACAAAATAAATAATTAAGAAAGAGCGTACGTACCTCGATTAATAATGGGCGATCTTCGAAGTGGCCTTTTCACAAAGAGATGAACATAATCGTCTTTCATGTAACCCTTTTTCACACAAGACCTTTCCAAAATTCATAGGCAGATTATCATATCTACGAGTCTAACAAGAAGCAAAATTATACCAAAAAAAAAATTAAAAAAGAGGGAAGGAGCGTACAGTTTACTGGCGGAGGCATCATCGTTTGTAGCCTGCACCGCCGCTCTGTTGCTGCGAGATTCTCCTGCCATATCAATCCAATCCCACGCGAGCGAGAGGAGAGAGCGAGCAAACAAGGTTAGTTACCACCGATTGTTTGTCGAAGACGGACGGACCCCCCTCTGATCTGCATCTGGAAGGAGGACTCTAGGTTTGGGCTACAATATGGTATTTAGTTTGGGCCTAGGCCCAGTAAGTTAGGCAAATCAAGTAAAAAAGGCCCTAAATAAGATGACTATCTATTATATTAAAAGAGAAGTCATGACTCACTTCATGTGTGATTTTTTTGTTTGGACTTTCCTTATAATTTTTATGAAATTTTACATAACATTATTATAATATCTTTTCACACCTTTCATTTTTATTTGAAATAAAAAGAAATAATTTTAAGAAAATTCTAACAAAATCTTTTAAAAATCTTATAGAATCTTTTCAAGATATAGTTTCAAAAAATATTTGATTAAAAATTTAATTATCATAGAATATAATTAAAATTTTAATTCATTTTTTTATTTATAAACAAAAAAATTAAAATTATGTAATATACTTTTAACAATATCCCAAAAATTTGTTTATGTATTATGTAGGTCCAATTTAATTTACTTTTTATATATATTTAAAATTTAGATATAAAAAAAAATATAAATTAGTAATGTTACATAATAATGTTTTAAAAAATTGTTACAAAAATACAAATTTATAAATTTTAAATTAATAATATTATAAGCCACATACATAATATTATAAATTGGATAGTATATACAATCAAATTATATTTATTTATTGATAAATTTTACTCCTTCTGTTTCTTAATATATGATGTTTTGGATCATTGGACAAAAAAATAAGAAATTTACATTCTTTAAACGAAAGTATTTGTAAAGATATAATTTTATAATCATTCAACCAAATATTAAAAAGAGTAAAATTTTATCGGTTGAACAGTTTCCAATAAAGTTAAAGATAACTTTAAAACCTCAAAATATACTTTAAAATCTCGAAACATCTTATATTATGAAATAAAATAAATCTTTTAAAACATCATCTATTTAAAATGAAGTGGGTATTATATAATTTCAAATATTTACGTATTAATATACCCGCACGGTTGTGCGGGTCGAGATCTAGTCTTCTCTATTAAAAGAGAAGTACCAAAAAATCTACTGTACAAAAGTCATGTTGGACCATTTCATTAATTATTTATATGACATATTTGATTATTTATATCAACCATTCAAATATATATTATTTTTAAAATATCTTGATAATTAATAAGGATATTAATAATAAATCAATTCAAATATAAAAAAATTAAATCAGTTGAAAAAATCTAACAAGATCTTCCCAAAAGTGTAAATATTTTTTTATAAAATAAGTATTTCTTAATTTTGTGATTAAATATAATGTACATTAATTTTAATTAAATAAAATTAGACGCTATATTTTGTACATTCTCTAATAATAATCTATATTATCTTACATTAAAATGATATATGCAATAAAATAAATTAGTGAAGTAACCTATTTTATTTTTTAAAACTGCTTTCGTCTAAATAAATATCACTAACTGTTCAAATGGGTTAATTTTTTAAAAATCATATAGTATTTTTTACAAAAAAAAATTGTTAACATATATATAATTTTGTAGCTCACAACAAAATCTTATCTAAAAATATTTATAGATTATTTTTTTTTATTTTTTTTAACTCCCAACAGTATTTAAAAATTATGCTATTAGAATATTTTGAAATTTTATTATTTATTAAAAAAATTACTAACAAATCCATTATAACAATAAATTTATTGTTTATTTACCCTTAAAATATTGAAAATATAAATTACTGAAATTTGATAAAAAGAATATTCAAAATTAAATAAAATGCATTAATTTAATAAAAAGAATATTCAAAATTAATATAATCATCCAAACTCAAAAATAGTTGTCTAATTTTCCAAATTTATATTGATTAGATTTATAATTTTAAAAATAAACCTTCCAAACTCATTATGATATTCAAATTTTACAACAGATAAAATATTAAGTCCTAAAGTATATTTTTTGAAATGCCACACGAAAATAAAATATTTTTTAAAAATTATAATAGTATAATATTTGAAATCTTAACTCATTAATTAAAAAATCAGAAAACTTAGTAATAACTTAATACTCTAACATTAAAATAGCATCATATATCGATCAAATTACTAAAATAATACTATAGATGCTGTTATGCATAACATTTATTAAAATAATATGACTAGACTTCTTAAATAAAATATTGTAGTTACTTATAAAATCATACAATATACCAAAATGATATATTTTAAGTATATATTTAAATAAAATATGAAAGCATAAGTTGTTATAAACAAAATATCATTCTAATGTATAACTAAATAAAATTTAAAAATGTATTGTATGCAAACTATCAAAATTAGAAAAAGTATGTTTTGTACGTGATTTTCTATTTATCTATTTTAAATTATGAACTTATTGTAACTGAACTCAAAAATATATTAATATGGAATAATAATTAATAACAAAGTTTAATGCATACAAAAAAACCATTATATATTAATTATGTTGAATAAAAACTTAAAATAATAAGATTAAAGATTCATACAAAATATACAACTAAAATATAAATCATATAATTAAATATATTTTTATAAAATGAAAAATATACCCGCACGGATGTGCGGGTCAAATTCTAGTTATTATCTACTTACTCTGTTAAATTAGAAGAGAAGGATATATGAATTAGAAGACACCACCGTAGTATTTTGTTTGGTCGGAGTCGATATAAAAAAAAAAAAAAAAAGAAGAGGAGGGAGAGCAGATCAGGAATTGGATCTCTACTAAACGAGTCGGATCACCCATCTAAAAAAGAAAAGAAGATGGAGCAGAAGCGGAGATCATTGACCAGCTCGTTCGGCGAGCATCTAGCTGCAACGGTGAGGCCCTGTTGCCTATCATAATCGAAGCTACATCGCATCCTTGTCTTTTCGCCTTTTCCCAACGTTGCCCAGGTCCTTGTTAATAAATGCTAACAATTTCGTGAGGGGCGGGTGCTTTAGGAATTTGAGAACAAGTTTGTTGAGTTTTAGGAAGAAGTAATGTTGATATGAAGAGCGTTTTAACAATTGCAGCTTGAAGGAAGCACACATTCCGTGTACGTGGACGTTCTGCGCTTGTTTGCCCATGGCACCTGGGGTGACTACAAATGTACGAACACCCTTTCTTTTTAATGTTTCAAACTCCCCCAACAATTTCTTATTTATTTATTTTTTTTGTTTGTTTATAAAGGCAATGCTAGCCCTATCCCTCAGTTGTCTCCTGACCAAATTCTGAAGCTAAAACAGCTCACTCTTCTTACCCTTAATTGCCCACTCAACACAAGGTTTTCATTCTCTCCTCTTCTTCTTTTCACTTTTGTATCTCTCACTCACTCTGCTTTTCCTTCATAGGTTTTGCCTTATGATACGCTGATGGCTGAGTTAGATGTCACCAATGTTCGTCAACTCGAGGACTTTCTTCTCAATCAATGTATGTACGCGCGGTGAGTGCTCTCTCTCTCTTTTTGTTCACAAGCTTGATACTGACTTTTGCTCAAATCTTCCAGGGTATAGTTAGAGGAAACCTGGATCAGTTTAAAAGATGCTTCCAGGTGTGTTTTGTCTGTCTCCTTCTCTTTATCTATTTTATCATTCTTCTCTTGAGTCCTTTTTTTTGTTTTTGTTAAAAAAATAATATATATGCAGGTTCCATTCTTGCAGCTGGTAGGGATCTAAGGCCAGGTCAACTAGGGAATATGTTACCCACATTGTCCAACTGGTACTTCCTTTTACCTTGTTTTCTTCTTCCCTTGGTTTCCAAAAGCACCCGCTGAATATATGACTCATGATTTAACTCCACGACCTGCGATTGACTTACTTCCATGTGAATTGGCCTCTCTTTTTTCTCGTTAGACAGTTTGTGCCTTGCTTGATTTCTGAGACTGTTTATGTTTAGGTTGAACACATCAGAAAATCTTATCGGTTCTATTCAAGACAAGATCAATTGGGCGGACAATATGAGTGAGATAGACAAAAAACATCTTAAGGAATCAGAAGAAGTGAAGAAGTCTCTGTCCATGAAGGTCAGTGATAGGCTTGGTGGAGGCCTTAGGGCTTCGCTTTTCCCTACTAACTATATTATGTAACTAATTTTGCTTTAGTTGGACTCTGGTTTAGCTTTTCTCTCTCACTCTGATTTATTCCGAGAACTGAAATGGGATTTTTCAAGAGTTTAAGTCTTTTTGTAAGGGTCTTTCAACTTTGTAATTCTACTACTATCTTAGATTAAAGAAAGATATCAGTTTTTTTTTTTGTTTTCTTAATATTGAGTGATTCAGCCAGTCCACTGTGGGGGTTCTTCTTACGTGTTTTTTATTATGAAGTTTTGTAACAACAAAAACATGTTACAAATAGGGCAAGTGAAGTGTTTGGACTCGGTGCAGTTATCCTTCTTATGAGTAGAGCGATTTTGTTGTATGTGTTTTTTTTGTGGAATCTAACAAGGTTTTTTGTGCTTTGATATGAATAATGAAATGTTGGTGGAGTTGTATAAAAGAAAGCTTTTCGACTGTTATGAAATGTGATTGGGAAGGGTGGTGGTCGATGTAGTCTTACTTATATTGTGGACAGGGGGATATTGACAGCAGAGGGCATAAAGAGATGTTTGGGGAACCAAGTGGAGTTATGGACTATGAAGAAGATAGAATCCGACCAAAGAGGTAACATACGATTAATTGTTTCCCTGGTATATGGTACAAGTATTAAATGATCTAGTTCTAGTACAAACTAGAATTAAAAGATGAAACACACTCGCCTTTGGATCGCAGGAGAAGGCATCCAGTAACAAGGTAGAGAGTAAAAGGGATTTGTAATGGTGTTGATGGACGAATCATTTACTTTTGGTGGCGGTTTTTTAATCGTTAGCATTTTATTCTGTTTCAACTTGTATATTGTCTCTTTCTCAAGGCAAAAACAAATTGGGCGGTTATTTGACCCAAAAATGATATGAATAGACAAAGCAAAAGTTGGGTTGGATTGATTGTAAAAGTTTTATGCATTTCATGGAACCGATGTTGTAATGGAGAACTGAGTAATCAAACTACAACGAGGTGGTACTGGTAGAGTCAATATTGTAGAAATAATGGAAAGCAAGGCAAGGAACTCTAGCCGTCAGGTTTATAATGTCAGTGTTGCGTCTTCTAGCCACAGGTGAACTCAGGCGGCGCTTGGTGATCCGTGAAGGTTCAGGTGGGGCATCGACGCCGATGAGGTGAGGGAAGTTGAGCTTAGCCTTGGCCCCTCGCAACTTGAAAGCGGCTCGGTCGTAGGCCGCAGCTGCTTCCTCGGCCGTCTCGTAAGTGCCTAGCCATATCCTGGCTCCATGTTTCTTGGGGTCTCTGATCTCTGCAGCGTATTTCCCCCAAGGCCTCCTCCTCACTCCTTTGAAGTTGCCTCCTCCTCTTCTACTGGTGGCGTCCAGATCTGGTGAACTGCTGCTGGAGATGGAGAAAGAAGAGAGACTCTCTGAGTCATCCTCCAGCAGATGTCGTCGAATCGAATCCAGTACCGAGGAGCAGTCGTAAGATGTGAGATCATGCTGCATTTTTCTTCACTTTTGTGAGTCTTTGATTTACAGATATAGATTTAGATTAGCTTGCGAGGTTTTTATGTGAGACTTTAAGATTATCATATCCATCCTCTGCATATTTATATATATATATATAGAGCGAGAGAAGGTTTACTAAATTATATTTGCACTTGCTTGGAAACGCCTTATTTAGTCACGTTTTCCACTCTCCTCTTTGCTTATTTTATTAATAATTCAAAACAAATAAACTTAAGGAGCATATTTAAATTTCAGATTCTTGTCCTTTTACAATGATCTATTTGGGGAATAAACTAACTAATTTCTCCTCCCGTAGGTATATTACTACTAGTCTACATGGTAATAAAATTCTTTGCTAGGAGAATTATCTCCTCAAAGAGCTTACCGATCACTCTGTTCTTTCTAGTTCGGGCTTTGGGACCTATCCACGACTCCTGTGTTTCCATTAATCAATTTTTTTCATTTCGTTTTCTTGTATCAAAGATGAAAGTGGGGTAAGGAGCTTGGTTTGTATGCAGGATTTGTTTCTTTTTGTACTGGTAGGGACAACTCGAAGAGAAAGGGTTAAAACAACTCAAGACGAACAGTCATCTTTCTAAAGTGATTATGAAAAACAGATAACTCTATATATCAAACTTCAGATTCATTTTTAGGTTTGGCATTGAATAGATCTCAGCGAGTAACCCGAGTATAGCAGGCATCGTCCAAGGATTGGGAGGCTGATACGCAATACTGTTTTTGGCATGGCTCAAGAACCTGCAGTAGCCGCACATTAGAACTCAAAAAATCAACCCTAGAACAGCTAGTAAAACTAATCACACATCACCAACCTTCCAAGTAAATGGAATGACTGCTATCATCAACCCTTTGAGGGGAAATGGCAGAATATACCTCCACAATCAAGGATTTTGGATCTATTTCTTGCGCCCTTAAAGTCAACTTTCCAAGCCAGCTGCCTAAATTTTGACGCCGGGATCGCTCGTCCGAGCTTGACTTTATGAGCTCTGAACCCAAGAGAACAAAAAAATTATGGAAGTGTAAAAAGTTGCTCAACAGAAAGAACACCCATCACAACAAATCATTTGTATGAAGAAATATTCACCTTGCAATTTTCGTAATTAAGTATTTTGAAGTATCTCCTTAAATAACAGCTTGGAAGCAACTTTGTCCAAGAATTTCCAAGTACAAATCATGAAATTGGGCTCGATGCTAGCTCTATAAGCTATTATTTAACACCAGGAAAACAATCAGAAGAGCAGACGGAAACACCAGCATATAAATTGCAAACATAAAACACACAATTATTCGTACCTTTTCATAACCATACACTGTGCGAACCAAGGATAGTACTGTTGAGGCAAAATCTCAGTAAACTCTTTCCCTTTAGATTCAATGTTGGCTAAAGATATATATAATGAAAGAAATTTTGTCCCTTGAGAGCTGGATGCGGTATTGTTTTAACCGGTAGTTGCGCCTTTGCTTGCTCACAAAACAACATTTGTCCTTTCTTAGTCTTGGGACCATTTACAATAGCCACACCGATCGTGGCCAGAAAGAATCTAACTGACCTTAGATCGCCTCAGAGTCTCCCAGTCTCGGTGGAGGAGGTGTGAAGTGAAGAGGTTTGGACCACGCACCCAAAGACTTAACTGAAGAATATTTTTGTGAAGTATCCTCAATTAGCTCATCTTTGTAATCTTCGCCATTTAAATCAGAGCTTACTGATGGTTGAGCTTCATCTACAGTGACATCATCAACAGAAACGACAAGAGAGTCGTGGATGGCAGCGACGGAGGAGGAATCATGACCAACTGCAAATTTTGAACAAGACAAAGCCCATCTTTATCAGAAAAAAAATTGCTGAATAAAGCCAAGACCAACTCAAAACTTATAAACTTAAAGAGAGAGAGAGAGAGGTTTACCTGACAGTGACAGCTCTCTAACAAGATCCGCATCTCGCTATCCAAAATGATTGCTAGGGTTTTCGGAAGAAGATCCGAGAGCAAGCTAAGCAGCAACAGCTCTCTAACAAGATCCGCTGATTCTCATCGTTCCGATTTTTGGTGAATTCCTGAATATTAGAGTTTGCCACACCTACTCTATATCTCAAAATCAAAACCCCCGCCATTTCTAAACCCTTTTTTACCATGTTATTAATGGGCCTTTTCTTTTATCTAAGGATTTACGGCCCAGTTTAATAGACCCACACATTATTACTTATTTACTTTAATTGACCCCAGTCAAAAATTATTGTCTTTTTTTTTTTTTTTTTGTCAAATCTATCAAAAATTATTGTCATCATCTTGCTTTCTCAAAGCCTCGATGCTTGATCCTAGGTTACATCATCCGAGCTTAAATTTTACTTGAGAATCTTGTCGGAAGCTTTCCATTTCCAACAAACACCAAAGAACATTCTGATGGGAAGCTTGCTAATATTGTGACAAATCGGACTTAAAAGAAATTAGAAAAATTAAGGGACAAGACACCCCAGAAGATATAAGTGAAATGCTTAATTCTTTTTCACTTATTTGTGTTCCTGCCCTACTCATCATTTTCACTCAACAAAAAAAAGTATCTTCTACTGATTTTTCTTCATCTTCATTATTGGCCTCTTTTCAAACATACGATTATCATCATTTTGATTCTGAATCTTTTTAACCAGTACATAGAAAGCCATGTCGAGAGGTAGGGTTGTCCACTCTTGTCTCCAATGATTATGTTAATTATTTATCTGACCATCGATCCAAATATTTAATCTACCACATGTTACCTCTCTCTTCTTTCGAACCGATTTTTATTATTTTCTGACTGCTTATTACTAATTGTCTTTCTCAATAAATAATAGTATATACATGTCATATAAAGCTTTAGTTATTTGTTTTGAATCACTTTTGTGCGTTGCAACTCTGGCGTGAAAATCAGTAGGTCTAGCTCTTGGTAACTTACGAATTTATGATATATAAATTTAAAGCGGGAAAAAGGACATGACTTTATTATTGTAAAGACAAAATGATGAACAAAGAAAATGGGAAATCTCGAGGGCACAGGCAAGGATCACTTGGGCCCATAACTTTGTTGTTGTTTTTTTTCTCGCTAACCACTGATTATTAGTTTATACTTATAATTTATTTATACAAATACAATACAGGTTAGAGAGATACGTACATAACCAGAAATTCGAATAGAATATATTCATTGGCTCGTCCGCATAGCGTAGAGAGGATAGATTACATGATGCTGGCCCATGAGCTCTCCCCAGAAAATGAGACGCGACGTGCACGCCTCTGGTCCTTCTTTTGTATACATTTATTTACGCCTTAAGAAATTCCTAACAAGCTACCATGCATGTGAATATGTGATGTCTGCCTATCCCTTTATTCATACATATATACTCTAGTAAATGTTGTTGTTTTTTTAATAAGTATGTGAATTTCATTACCATGATGACACAGAGGATACAATCAGGTTTTGAAACAAATCCTAATGCATCAAGAATGCTATCTAAAGCCTAGGTCTAAGCAAAGCCCCAAGGAGATGAGCTAAGTAGGAGCTCTGTGAAGCCATCTAGTATATGTCCCTCGTCAAATATATTAGCAAACAAACAAACAAACAAAAATAAACTATTTTCCATAAAAAAATATTATTGGTATTTATTTGTTATTTCTGTTACTTACAAAACGAGGAAGAGTGGATCTGGTGAGGATGAGAGACGGATAGGGAGGTCGAGGGGCATGTGTTTAACATGGCTAACCAAACTCCTAAAGTATCGCTTGAAAACTGCCACATGTACCACGTTTAGATTCAACGCTAATGAAACCACTCGTAACTTCAGACTGACGTTGATCTTGTCTCACATCCGCTTCTTCAGTCACATGATCGGTGCTTGTAATCAACGCACAACCAAATATCTGAAGATTGCAGTCGTCGAGTCACATCCAAGTTGCCTCACTGGTTTATTCCCTTATAAAGATAGTTACTGACCGGTTCTTTAAGGGAAGAAAAAAAGAGAGAGAGAGGACGGAAACCGGTTAGATAAAAACCTAAACATCAATAAATGTCGTAACAGCGAACAATAAATATGTACCCAACAGCATTAACCCTAACCTTCCTCATTAAATTCATCTCAATCCATTGACCGAATCTCATGTTCAGCTGGCACTTGGATAAAAAGAGTACTTAGTAACATTTTCATTGATAATATTTAACTGATATTATAAGAGCACCCGCAACAATGGTCCTTAGGAAAAATCCTTAGGGAAAAAGAAAAAAAGGTATTTCGGATTATATAAGGATATTTCGGATTTTTTCTTTAAAAAACAAAAAATTGACCATTCACGGGCCGCCACGTGGGCAGTGGAGCCCGCGAATAGTGTAAGGATCAATCCTTAAATAAGGATTTTAAGGATAGAATCCTTAACTGTGCATGGGACCCGTTGATTATAAAATTAATATTTACCTAAGGATTTCTTCTAAGGATTCGTTGTTACGGGTGCTCTAAGGTTTGAGATATTTTGTTATTATCTTTTAGATTAAAATATAATGTGTTTTCAAAATCCATACTAGGATGAAAATGCTCTAAATGGGATCAGTTTTCTTTTGTGTGCTAGCTAGTAACTTTTCTTTTCCCATTTAACCTCACATGCTCACACACACACACACACACCAGCGAAGGGAGTGTTTCGTCAGGGCAACACTGTCAATTCACAAGCAAATCCCCAATTTAAGGTTGGCTCTCTCTAAAACGTCTGAAAACGACTGCAAGCAAACCTCTTGTCTACCTGTACACTCACACACGCATAGTCTAATTAATGTGTGTGTATATAATATTTTCATAACATAGATGCTTGGCTTAAAGGGAAGAAATAATCTAGCAACATCAATTTCATACAATAAAAACCTTCAAACCTTTTTGCACAAAAAAAAAACCTTCAAACCTCCATCTTCCCAGGGCAGAAACAAAACAATCAGTCTAACTAAGTGAAGAACATGGAGAAAGTGTGCTGCATGTGCGGCGACGTCGGCTTTTCCGACAAGCTCTTCCGCTGCGCACACTGCCGCAACCGCTTCCAACACTCGTAAGTACCTTCTTCTCGAGGCTATATACATAGAGTGATCATATATATACCTATACATGGTCAACTAACGGATTTCTTAATTTGAATATACATATATTTAGTTATTGTAGTAATTACTATAGTGAGTTTGCGGAGCCGACAGAGATTTGCGACTGGTGCCAGAGCGACGACAAAAAGCTGTGCAGCGTTGCTAAACAAGGCGCATCTTCAAGGAAGAAGAAGGCTTCTTCCTCCGTAAATTATGAGAGAGGGGTCACCAACCGATCGGAGTATACTTCCGGTGGCGGGATCAAGCATGACAATAACCATCACGATCGAGTGGCCAAGAGCGTTGCCGGACCTGCAGGAGGCGAAGTGCCGTCGCCGAGGACGGCCACGAGAAGGTACAAGCTTCTCAAGGATGTCATGTGTTAGATCAATTTCTTAAAGAGAGCTTACAGTATAATAATAATAATGATAATGATGCTCCTTAGAGATTGTGTAGTTGTATTATACTTATATATATGTATAATTACTTAGCCCCCACCCGAGACAACAACAACATGTCAACTATAGAAATGGTTTGTTATTATTCTTTTTCATATAGATAGTGAATGTGTATCTCATTTTCTTTTCGTACTAATGTTAAAAAAATAATGAATGTATTGTTTGATATTTATTCTTTCCGTTAAATTTTTAATAAAAGTATATTAGCTTCATTTTTCCTCTAAAACTTTCGGTAAAAGTCTTTATATAATATGAGCTTTGCCAAATGTCATCACTACATTTTTTAAAAAAAATAATAATAATGATATGACATATTAATAATGATGAAATATTTTGATACTAATTATAACATAGCCATTTACATTTAATGTTGTTTTATGTTTTTGTTAAACCTTTAAGAATATCTCATATATAATAGTAGACATATATAGATAATAATATTTTCTGATTTTCTAAATACTATTTACTTTTCTTAAAAAAATTAATAATATTTTTGAATTTCTAAATACTATTTACTTTTCTTAAAAAAATATTTTTTTTTTACTAAAACAATTTTTCAAAAATTTATGCAATTTTTTAACAAAATTGTAATGTTCTTATCACTTACGGTTAGTTTATTTCTAATATCTAAAAATTTAGATATATTTATTTAGTTTTTCGTTTTGATAATAATATACTTAACAAAATTTTCTCTTAATTCTAATAGAATTTAATTTAATATACTTTAACTAACGAAATAACTAGATAAAAGATATTTCCTAGATTACAATTTTAAAGATACATATATATTATTAAACGTAAATTTAAATAATTTTTTTTACTATTTACAACTTTTACAATTAAAATTTAAATATTGCAGAAAATAATAAAATCTAACAGTTAACAACATTTAATTTTAAATTATGATTAAATTTAAAAATTGTATTTATACACTTGGTGCAAGAAAACACATAGATCTATTTTAATAGATTAGAATATTTTATGATTCATCGTTTAATTTACGGATACACATATATTCTTATTAGTCGGTCCATAAATGTTTTTTTGTGCACAACAATTTCATTAACTTTTTTTTTTTTTTTAAATCAACTTCATTAAATTTAAAGGTGGCTACACTTATAAAGGAAAAAATGTTCTAGAAGAAACGGACATCATGAAAATTAAGAGACAAACCACATTGATGCATTCATATTTCGTACAGAAAAATGATTTTTACATGTCTAAACACTGAATAAATCAAATGCTTCAAAATAAAATTTTAACTTTCATTCGTAAATTTATGAATAAATTACTTTATTTATGTGCATTTAATTAAATTGAAATATGATAATTGTAACAAATTATTTTCATTTTAAATATATATTTGAACTAATACCTACTCATAACATGAATTGTATTTTAAATTTTAGAATTACTGAAACGATAAAATGATAAAATGAGACAGAATAAGATTATTAATAAATTATCAAAGTGGATATTCTTTTATTCTAGTTTAAATAAAGGCTGCATCGACGTACTTATCACTGGTGTTGTTAACGCATAATAAGATTCTCGAATCATAAATTTTCTCGAATCATAAATCTTTAAACTCAAGCTGCAAAGCTTGAATTTAAAGATTTTATCTACGCACGCAGAATAAGATTCTCGAATCAATAATGAATTTTATTGTTTTTAGAATCATAAATTTTATCTACACAATGAAAACAATAAAATTCCATACTCTGTACTATGACTATGTTTTTCCGAGATTAATAAAGTTCTAACTTTGTCGGAAAAAATGAAAGTAATAATCTCTAAAGAACGTGAAAATCTTATTATAGAACAATAATTTATACTTCCTCTGTTTTTAAATAAGTGTCATTTTGACTCTTTGCACATAAATTAAGAAAATTGTATAATAGACTAAAATATCCCTATTTAATGTATGTTTAATTAAATGAAAATAATTTAAGTAAAATACTATTGGTTATTCAAAAGGGTAAAAAATAGATTTAATGTACAAAATTACATTGGGATTGTAGAATGACACTTTTTTGAAACAAAATTAAAAGGCTAAAGTGACACTTATTTAGAAACAGAGGGAGTATATAACTATATAAATAAAAATGCACCATTATGATTTATGAATACGTAAAAAAAAATTATTTGGCGATTAATATATAACTAGATTTTGACCCGCCCTCCAAAGGGCGGGTATATTTTTTATAATTTTTTTTATTTATATATTTTTTTAATCATATTTTTTTTGTATTCATATTTAGGTAAAAGATATATATTTTGCCCGGCTGGTTCAATTTAAAAGAAGAAAAGTTTACCAAAAAAGATATATATTTTTAAATGATTAGTAAGAGATTTTTGATATTTGAATTTTTTGTTTGTGAAGATATTTGGTGTTTTTTTGTAATTTTGTTTTTGGTTTAAATTTTTTAGTTATTATTAACATGATATTTTGATAATTTTATTAAATTAATGATGTTGGATAGATATATATATATATATATATATAAAAATATAGTCATTTTACACATTTATTTTATAATTTATTCGTAAATAATTTTTAATAATATATTTGTTTAAATAATAAAGTACAGCTACATTTTTTAATCCATAGTTGTCATTAAATTTCGATCATTTGATTTCATATACATATTGAAAAGGGCCACTTAGGTTTATAAAAAACAATTATATTTAGATCCCATATTATAAGCCCTTAAGGCCCAAATTATATCATCTTCCGACAAGTGACCAAAGTGTCTTAACCTTTTTTTTGTTGTCGGTGGAAGATTAAAAAGAAAAGTGAAACAGCATCTTCATTTCTTGGAGACTCCGTAAACGATGAGACGATGGGAGCTGAATCAAGTCATTCTATTCGAATAATAACACACAAGCTCGTTTCGACTTTGGTCTGGGTTAGATATCGAGTAATCTTTTAGCCAAATGGTATGGGATTCTGTAAGTTCTTTGATTCGGGATCTACTCCACGATCCTCCTCTCTGTGGTGGTCAGAGCTGGAGATCTTGTTCTCTGAAGCAAAAATATACCAGAGGGTTTGTCTCAGTCAAACCAGCTAAGCAAATCAGATATGTTCTCTTGTTTAGGTATTGCTGTTTCTCTATATATTCATAAAGAACTATGTTATCACAATAGATCTTTTACATACTTAAAAATCAGAGATTTTGTTTGCGTACCAAAATCACTTATAGTTTTGAATATGTTTACATCCTCTGTTACTTTGCTTGACTGATCTTTGTCAGTCTCTTTTGATTAATTTAGAGATTTTCTTTCCTTTGTTTGAATGTTTATAAAAGCAGGGGATGATGCTCAAGGTCAACCTTTTGGTTGGAGAGTCATAAGTCGTGTTATATAAGACATCTTTCAAGGTATATGATGTTGAATCTGAAGTGGTTAAGAATTTAATAAACTCCATAAATATTTGTTTAAATTGTAAAACTGTCACTTTCTTATCAGAAAGACGTGGGAGACTGTGGAAGCTGAGATGATTGGCTATCTTCTTTTGAAAGCAGAGCAGTTGAAATCTACTTGGCAGTGAGAATTAAAGACCAAAGCAAAATGATAAGTTGCTTATACTCTAACTCTTTTCATGAACTTTCTGATTCATTTTCACAAGTGTTATAAAAAAAGAAAATGGAATTTGGTGATTGATATAGAAGCCATATATATACAACTTATAATTCTTTTGATCTGCAGGAGTTAATTATCAGAGAGGACCTTATCCAGTGGTAGCGAGAATAAGATACCAAACAAAAAGATAAGTTGCTTATAGTCTAACTCTTTGTTCATAAACTATTTGTTTCATTTTCGTAAGTGTTATAAAAAAAAAAAAGAAAACGAAAAAGAAAAGTTGTTTAGTTAGATAACTTAGTAGAAACAAACAAAATATCCATTAAACTTATGTGTTCTGATAATAATCATATATTGTTCTCGAGGAGTATAATAGATATTTGTTGTTGCTTTGAAGTTAATGTCATTTTAATTGCTTTAATATGTGTGGGTATATTTAAGCTGTATTCTTATTGAACTACTGTATTATTGGCAGGAGCTGCTGGAATAAAGAAGATGCCATCACAAAAGAATAAAGAAGATGCCATCACACATGACATTGAGTAAATGGAACGCAAAATGGAAATCAGAAACACCCTTAAACATTGGAATAACATGTAAGTCACTACATAGAACTTAGATAGAGGTTAGAAGTCAGGTCTGTCTGAAAAAAAAGTAGATAGGTTAGAAGTCAGGACTTAGATTTATTTTCTATGTTTTTATTACTGTAAAAAACTAACCAATTAAGATGGATGGCTCAAGTTGTCCACTTTCAATACATTCAAAGTCGACCAAACTAAGAAACATGTTGTCGTCTTGCAGTGTTGAAGGAGTGACTTCAGTGGCGTGAATGAAGACAATCTTGTATGGATGATTGGTAGTCTTGAAGTTACTGCCGTTATTAGTGACAGAGAAATTGTCGATGTTCCTCCGAACACCAACAGATAGTTTATCCGCCAAACGATGAAAGTAAGATTTCTTACATGATGCATGAATTTTGTTACCCTTCAGTATAAGAACAAAAACATTACTCAGTTAGTACTCTGCCAGATAGATGTAGTTAAGAATAATGAAAAGATATAACAGAATGAATCTGAGTAGTGAGTTAAGAATATTACATATGCATCAGACAAAACAATCTCCATAGTTGCTCCTGATAGTGGTGTGAATTGCTTCCAGGTATGAAGGACCTTCACTTGCAGACGCCATCTTGTTTTGAGCGGCTTAATCTGGTTGACAAAGCTGAGTTCCATGTTAGCAGTTTGGTTTCGATATAGAAGAAAGGTCTGGGAGAGTTATGTTTCGTCTGCAATATATATAAGCAAAGATAATAAGGTTAACGAAGAATGAAAGATATTAGGTTTACAGTTATTTTGTAGATTGCAGTTGAGTATCGTGGATTAAGATGATTGAGTTGAAGACCACGTTCTTTTTTTTTTAAGTAAAAAAATCTTTAAATAAAATATAACTGCTTGTTTAATGAAAATATTTCATAACTGCATATATCTGTCGACAAAAAGTAGATATAAATATGTAAAAAATAGTTTTTTAATAAAAAGAAGGTGCAGTGGCAAAAAAAGTAATATTCCAAGGAATGGTAGGGGTAAATATTAGCGATGATTCTGTTTTAATAAAGAAGATATTGGGTGCAAATGACTCTTCTTGGGCTTGTAAAATCTGATACTAGCCCATAAACTTTACAATACTCACAAACGCACAATATCACTTTCTTACATCAATTGAACTAAAAGCCCTGTACTGTTTGATAGTCTTTTCCGATTTAGCCCTTTAACGTACGCACATAACCATGTCTAAAGACATACGAAATGAAAAACTGGAAGAGGGGTCGATGAATTTTTTTGAATTAGCTCTCCACTACTCATAAAATGTCAAGTAGAAAGTTGGATTCAGGGAAGGAAGCCATGAGGAGAAGCAATCTGAGAAATTTAGTATTAGAACATCTCTACTGAAATATAGTTTCACAAAAAAAAAAAAAAAAAAGTATATTGTAAGAATAGCTTCAGAACGGTGGGACATTAAGGAGTCCCCGCCACTCTCAACCACTATTTTTGTTTTCCTGGAAAAGGGGAACCACGTGGGCATCATCGATCAGTCGCTTTTCTAAAAATTGGTTTGGTGTAGTTTTGTAGGAAAAATCCAGCAGCACCATCAGACAAAATGAACAGAGAGTCAATATCAATAAATAATTCAGTTGCCTTAAATGATTAAACGATGAACGAACCACCCATGCACCAGTACCTTCCCCTGTCTTTGCTTTTACGAGCAATTAATTCTATCATACATTACTCGTAATCAATCAACCAAAGTGCATGTATATCTATGATCACATTCATTCTAATTTTAAAAAAAAATTAAAGAAGAGTTTAATCGATTGAGCGCGGTTAAAAGAGTTTAATCGACTCATGAGTCAAACACACATTTAAAACATTTGAAAGTAGGAAAGGTAACATGACCAAATAACTAGTATTAATTTCTTATCGGTCTCCAACAACAACAAAGACAACCTTAAATATTATAAGTAGAAGCTAAGCTACCCCATATTGGGGACGTGGAAGACGACGCTGTAGTTTGGAACTGCCTTTGCCGGAAACATTCCAATGAAATTGGGGTCGGCGCGTTGGATGGAGACGCTGACGACGACTTTACACCCGAATCGTTCGCTGACTCTGATGGTACCATTAACCAATTTTAGTTAGAGAGAGAGAGAGAGAGAGATTAGTTAAATTAATGAAGTTATAATAATATCTGTGTGATTAATTAAATGGATATGAGGTATAATCAAGTACTTGGAGTGGTGATAATATCCGGAGTGTGTTTGCCGCTGTCGTGGGTGGCGGAGGCTGACTGGTGACATTTACGACGGCGGCGATTATGGTCAGCAAGTCGCTTACGGCAGCTCCGTTTACCGTTGTCGAATTCCGACAGCAAATGGAACCTGTAAGAAATTATAATTAATCTTTCTTCTTTTTTTTTTTTAATGAAAAAATGACCCCAGATAAAACGGCTGAGTAAATTAATTATGAGAAAAGGATTAAATGATTTTTAGTTGGGTTTAAATTTTGAAAAGGAGGAGAGTATTCCATTGTCATTGGGATCACCCACAGCCACATGGAGTACGTAACACACACTCTCTCTTTCAAGTCTCAATGATTGATTGTGAGGAGAGAGAGAGAGAGAAAGATTAAATTAATGGAATGTCATTTCCGTTACTTAATTAACGCTAATTAAACCCTTTTTTTTAAAAAAAGATCATTATCTTTAACTAAAAACTAGTCCGTATATATATATAACCATATTAGGATGAGCATTAATACTATAATTAAGTATGTATGTGTACGGACAAAAGCATGCCCCCCACACATGATACAGTCCCATGGACCATGGATTTTGCTTAAGGTAAAAAATGTACGGACGGGGCAAGAGGCCTAATGATATGTGTCAAAGGTGGGATCTTTAGAGGAGACAGAAAATAGTTAAAATAAAAAAGAAAACCTGCTGCATTGCTGGCAAAAGCGCTGGCTGAGCCCCGCGGCGACAACCGTCGAAGCTTTTGAGTGGAATTCGCACACTTTGTGGCGGCGGTGATAGTGTTTGGCGTGGGTCAGATCTGCGTTGCATCTCTCCGCTTGGCACCGTGGAGTAGTAGTAGTGCTCAGGGAGTTTCCCATTCCCAGCTCACCGGGTCGAGACCTCCTGTACAGCCTGCTCACGAAATCGTCGTCTCCGGCAGAGAAGTAAGTGCGTCCCCCCAGGTTGAGGCCGATCCTGCTGAAATCGAGCGACGACCGAGAGACGTCCACTTCGGTCTTTGGTATGAGGAAGTTGTAAGAAGAAGCGGATCCAGGTGTTTGGTCGAATGAGAACAAGGCTGAAGCAGAAGAGTGAACATGGTAGGTGGAATCGGATGAGTAGGCGTATGGATTAGTACTGGTGGTGCGTGGTGAGTCGTAGAAGAACTGGTTGTTTGGGATATGATGACCACCATAAGCGACGGTCAAATGTTGTTGGTGCATGTTAGACAAGCTGGCCGAAGAAAACAGCATCGGTGGAGAAAAGTTGTTGTAATTAGAAGACTGATGATGATTGGTTTGGGTCGGGTCGAAAATGGACAAGGCTCGGGTTGTGTCAAGGTCCTGTTGATGGTGTCGCTCTTCTCCCGATATCATAACGGCGGAGGGGTTGTCCCATTCGTAGTCCAACATGTTTCTGGAGTGTTGAGGAGATCCCGAGGAAGATCTTTTTCTTTCTTTCTTTCTTTCTTTCTTTCTTTTGTTTGTAATTTTATTAAATATCAAAGTGAAAAGAGAGAAGGATGAGAGGCTATGCTAATAAAGGGTAGGGAGAGGAGACATGTCGGTGCGTAATAGGTTATGGAGTGGTTTTAATTGTCTGAAAGCAAGCGACGTACTATACCTCTATCAGAATTAGAGTCTTTCCCCTCTCTTTGATGAGTCTAAAATGTGTGACTCTGCAAATAAATTCCAAAACCCTAACTTTCTATTTGGGGAAGGTATCTCTAGAGATTTCCCTTCGCTACCTATCTCTTCTCTTTTTCACTACGTACATCTCTAAAATGATTGTTTACTTTCTGTTTATTTATCTACTAAAAATGAGATGGATTGATCTTACAAGTATTGTGTACCCTACTTTAAGTATACTAAAGTGAAAGATGGAGAAGAAAGGAACTCGTCACATGGGAAGTGAAGCTCTCTCTCATGTCCAGTCTGAGTGTTTGAACAATCTTAATGTACCAAACATCAATCACTCGTATCGTATGCACCATTACTAGTAATTTTTAATTGTACCCTAATCTGAATCATTCCAAATCTATCTCTCTCTACCACTGCTCGTATTTCTTTTGGAGAGCTCCTCACTGATATTGATTTGACAACAGACCAGTTACTGAATTTTGAAGTAAAAAGTAAAGAATAAAAAAAACCTATAAAAGTAGAGATAAGAAAGAGGAGTTGTGATTCTGTGGTTAAGGATGATTTGGGTGTGTGTAAAGTGTAAACGCGTTTGGTCTATCCATTTATTAATTGGACACAAGTCTGCGGCTGGGCCACTCTTGTTTCAAACATTTCATCAAAATTCATATACATATATAGCCGTTTCGTTGCATTATACTAGTATGTAGTATTTTCCACCGAACGTATATACTCCTCTTCAAAGTAACACATGTTTTTACGAGCAGATAAATAAAAGTAATAATAATAATACATATGTATTTCCAGAGCAGATAAGTAAATATCTAAAAAAAAAAAATCTTTTTTGGAGAAAACAAAAAAAGAAAAAGAAACAGGGAGGAAGACGCCAAGAAGGTACTGTGAAATGCTGTTGGGGTTTATAAGACAGGATGGCACTCCCGTAATTAATAGGGAAAATGAAGGTGGATCGTTTAAGGGAAGACAAAAGAGTGAGCGATCGTATTTGAATTCGCTTCTCTCTTTCTCACGCGCTCACGGTACTATTGTATACCAAACCTACGGTTTAGATTCAATCATGACACGCGACGGTGTAGGGAAGAGAGTAGAGGGAGGCGCGAGAGTGAGATGGTAATGAGTCCAAAAATTGAGGAGAGTGGGCCCATTTAGGTGCCAAAAGGCTGCCATCGACGTTGACCCAGTCGTACGGACTGTCTATTATCCTTCTCTCCTCCTCTGCTTTTTCTTTATTTATTTTTTTAAAACTTTTAATTTTCGTATTGGAATCTATTATTGTTACGAATGTTAGTGAAATGTAGAATACTGAATTTTACTATATTCACTATATAGTATTGACTGCATGCTCTTAGTTTACCAAAGAAGACAATTGATATCCCTCTACTATTCGCTTGTTTGGAAAGGACTGAATTCAAGTTTCATATTGTTCACATAATCAGAACTAAGTATGGAGCTTAACTCTAGTTAATAAATCTAACAGTTTACCAATATGGTACAAAACAATTATTATTATTTATTTTTTTATAAATATCAATGGCGTATTTGTGAGTATGCTAAATTGCTAATCAACATTAGCTTGATGCAAATTGTTTAAGGAACAAAAAACATGATTTTATAAACCCATTACTACAATAGGTAAAAACAGGAACTATATTAGAGTAAAACATATTCGTTTTTACCAAATAATTAAAAAGAAATAAACAAAAGTAATAAAGTGTGCGTGAGAATAGGAAAAAGATCGAAGAAAAGGAGGAGGATAATGCTACACCAGACATGTTGCCTTGTCAACATCTCTTAATTGAGAAACCACTTATTGCACCTCTCACTCATGACTCCTCCCCACTTTGCTGTCTCCAAAATTACCTTGAAAGAAAAAGGTTATATTTATGCGTTGTTAAAACAAAAGCGGGTCATATTTATGCATGTGTTTGTGTGACATGTACACTTTAAAGATATGTAATACACATGCAGTAACCCCATACATATGAATTCATTTTAAAAGGATTAAGCGATTGTTTGGCGATGTTTATGTTTTGGCATTATATGGGCAATCCATATTTAATGTGCAAAACTCTATGTGGGTCCATCCTTTTTGGGCCTTATTGTTATATGATATTGTACAACAAGCTATTATAAGCCCATATAACCAATTCACGGTTTCTTTAGTTTTGATTAACAGCAGCATGAAATGAGCATTGTTAAAAAAAAAAAGAGAAACTCATCTCTCTGTATATAAAAAATTAATAATAATATAGCATGTGAGTAGGGATGAATGTTTGGAAAAGGTCAAAAGCAGCAGCACGTGTCATTAGCTAAGGACTCATTTACTTGGAACCACACAAACAAAGAAGACACCAAACCCATTACTTCCACTGAAAACAAGGGCTTCCTCCTTTTTAACTCACTCACCAAACACTTACTTAGACACACCTCAAAAAGCCATGCAGAACTCATCATGCATTGATTTGGTCATGTTCAGCAGTCGCGGACAACACGATGAGGGCACTATGTCACGTCCTCCGTGGAAGAGGGAGAGATCAAATCATCTTAACTTGTATCCAAACGAAGATGAAGAGCTTGCCAACTGTCTTGTGTTGCTGTCCAATTCAGGGAATGCTTACAACAAGCATGGACACGGCAAGAGCAAAACCGTGAAAAAACAAAAAACTGCACATGTTTTCCAATGCAAAGCTTGCAAGAAGGTATTTGCGTCGCATCAGGCATTGGGTGGACACAGGGCAAGCCACAAGAAAGTGAAGGGTTGTTTTGCCTCTCAAGATAAAGAGGAGGAGGAAGAAGAGGAGGAATACAAAGAAGATGAAAATGAAGAGGAAGAGGAAGACGATGAAGTGGAGGAGGAGGAGGAGGAAGAAGAAGACAAGCCAACGGCTGCGGCTCACATCATCGCCCGAAAGAGATCCAACGCTCACGAATGCACCGTCTGCCATCGTGTATTCTCATCGGGACAAGCCTTGGGAGGCCATAAGAGATGTCACTGGTTAACACCTTCCACTTATCTTCGTATGACGCCACTACATGATTCCTCTGCCGTAAGATCTCAGGCGCTAGATCAACCATCCCTAGATCTCAACTTAGCTTGCCAAGAGTATTCCATTGATCCAACGGTCATGAGCGTAGGGAGAGATGGTGGTGCCAATAACAATCACAACGCTACTTCTTCAAATTCATGGCTAAAACTCGCTAGTGGTGATTGGTCTTGATGACTGACTAATTGATTAAGTTGCTCGTTAATTATATATCCATTCGTTTATATATATATATATACTTCACATACAATTAAAGTGCATTAATTAATATATAGAGTTGTATGGATTTATCATATTAATGTTATACGCTTCACGCCATTGGCAGTGTCAGAGAGCCATATATAACTTGCTCTAGGCCAATATTTCCAGTTATAGTTTATTTAGAGGATGATGATATAACTTGACGTTGTTGGAAAGAAAATTAAGTATATTTTGAAAAGTTTAAACGGCATTGACGGTAAGTAATTCGACTTAACAATATAGTAGCTGATACAAGAGAGAATGTGTCGATAAACTGTTTGAGACTTGTTTACCAATAAAGGACGAAAACAGATATACTGTATGAATCTGTGTTGATTTAGAATTAATTTCACCAAGAACACATTGACTAATTATCGAATAAAATAAAAGATGCGCGAGAAAGAAAGAAAAAAAAAATCATAAGTAACCAAATATATTGCAGTATTTATTAGTTATAACCAAAAAGCTCTTAATTACTGCAGCACCAAAACGCATGAATTACGCAATGAGGTGTACATGCTGCATGCTATGCATTTGTAATTTGTATAAAAGTTTAATAGATATATCAATTCCTTGTGTTTCAAAAAAAGGTCGAGAGAAGATATATCAACCCCTTTTTTTTTCTCCTTTTCTTGTTGGCAGATTTGATTACAGATTTACCATGATAACCAAGTTTTATTCATCTGTGTTGACGAGAAAAGGTTCAAGGTCTTTTTTTTAAAAAAAAAATTATTAAGTCGACAAAGTGACTAATATATAGAGTTGACTGCGACACGTAGAATGAGTCGAAAATAACAAATAAAGAAAAGAAGCAAAAGGTAAGGAGAGTTGAAGAAGCAAGAACAATAACAAGTCAATGTGTGCCGGTTGACTAACCAACAAAACTAACTTTGTTCATCTTTGTCCTAGAAGGTTTCAAGATTTGAGCTGCTATGTCAAGTTTACCAGTATTGTGGTTTGAAGGGCTGAGCAGGAGGACCTGCTATGTCTTTCTCGGACAGCAGTTTCAGCTTCTGCCAAAAAACATTAAAAAAAAAAGTGGTGGAAGAATCCTCTTATAAATCACTCAGTCAGTTTTTTTTTGGAGAGATTTACCGTGATGTATTGTGGGGGATCGTCGAAACTAGTGGAGCCTAGTACCACTTCTCTCCTCAAACTGCTTGTCAACTTGTGGCACACTCGGAGCTGTCAAACCCAAAAAGATTTTAATAAAAGGTAATTAACAACAACAAACATTCACTGAGCTCGGATTTGGTTGTTTGTTTATACCTCGGATCGAGTTGCCCCACCAATAATGAACACAAAGATGCGTTGCCCCAGCTTCTTCAAGTCCAGTGAAGCACTTTTCAGCACTGAGTCACTGTGTGTGTGAAGAAAGAATGGCATGTTTCTTATTAAAACACCAAGCTACTCATTTAAAAAAAAAAAAGAAGAAAGATAATGGTTAGAGAGTTGCTTTGCCTGGAATATCCATCGTCAGAAGAATGAGGACGTGCCCAAGTTGCAGTCCGTCTTGATCTCATAGAATGAGGGGTGGCTTTCCGCTCTGGAGCAGCTGCAGGAGCAGAGCTCTTCCTCACTGATCCTGTTCGTTGTTCACTCTCCTCTTCCTTATGACTTGATTGGTTCATGCATAAATAATCGCTTTTAGATAGATCGCCTTTCACAAGTTTCTCAAGTAGCTCCTGTTATCAAAATCTCATCATATCAGCCACCATGCATGATTACAACAGTGAATAATATATAGTATGCATATACCTCGAGCATGGGATAAAACCGGAACAGTTGCCACGTTTCTTCATCACCAGACCTATCTTTCCTATTTGCTTGTTTTGTCTATTCACCAAAAAAATAAAAAAAAAAGAGTATTCAAACAGAGAGTTTACCGTAAACAAGATTTTTAAAAAATCTGTTTCATTCATTCATGATTTTAAGTACCTTTCCGGTGTCAAATTTGAGGGAGAAACTACCGGATTTAGCCTTGTTTTCTGGAGATCCAGCTATCAGTTGCATGTTGCTTATAACCTTCATATCCACGGGTGATAACTTAGCAAGCTGATCATATATGTATAACTGTTAGTATACTCTCCAATATATAGATATATATGTATGAGGTTTTCTTATCACACCAAAAGCTACCTTACCTGCATTAGCTTTACGCCTTTGTCACCTTCGAACTTCTCAGGGTACACCGTTGCATAAATCATCAATAGTCGTAATTTGTTCTCCGGGGATGTGTCCTGCATGCATTTTAAAATATTATATACATATTTGGTGTGTGTTTCTTTTTTTTTTTTGTTATCTTTGCTTTTGTTTCAAGGGAACCTGATTTGTCCTCAGGAAATTGATAACGTCCTTGGCAGCTGCGTCTCCGAATACAAGATCTTGTTCCAGCTGCCCTAGATCCCTCAGTCCCGTGTCTCTGATTATTCTGTTAATTTTTCCAGCTATCTGCATTTTTTTTTTTAATTTCAAAATAAAGCAAAACAACTCCTTTACAACCTCATCTAGCTAGCTACTATTATTATTCATTTTTTTTTTCGTGGTGCAAACCTCTACATGAGTGGATAGTTTGTCAACTTGCTCTCCATATTGTGGCAAAGCCTGTACTATTTTCTGCAGATCACGCGTAGATAACTCGCTACCCTCTCTGCGTCATGTTAGACCAATCAATGTTAGCTATACATATCAACAAAGTCGTAATACACATCATGCAAACCCGAGAAAATATCTGAATTTCGCAAGATATATAAGATATACTCTTAGCACTGACATTACAAAAAAAAAAAAACTCTTAGCACTGACTTTGATCTCATTTGTGCGGCTTTGTTCTTTGAGGCAAAGTTGGTCATTTTCTCATGCAAACGCTCGCTAGCCTAATTACAAAAAGTAAAAATAATAATGGTGAGCTGTTCTGACTTCTGAGGATAAGATAGTTTATAAGTAACTGTGTTAATACATCTGCTATATGTGTGTGTCGAAGCTCAAGCCACACTGGATCATGATCTTCAAGCACTATCTCCTTATTCTCCGGAGGCCCACCAGTTTTACTGGGAACCTAAGCATATGTCATACACTTGATGACGACGGTAAATAGAGAAAAAAGTAAAAGTGAGACCTAGAATGCAAAAAAAAAAGAAGAGTTACCTCGATGACATGTTTATTCCCCTCCATATCAAGCAAATCGTGGCACATAGCATCATAGGTCCATTCATGTATGATAGGAGCAATCTACAGAGTTACACATGACAGTCTCTATTGAGATAGATAAATAAAAAAAAAAATTACGAGTATAAAGAGTATTTTTATCAGATGAGGGTTAAAAAAACCTGATCCACTGATCTATCCACAATGAGCAGCTCACAAGTTTCGGTCTGGGGGAAGTTGGGAATGGCTTTAAATTTGGAGATACAGTCCCAAATAGCAGCAGCAAGCTTTGACGGAACCAAGTCACGTGGGGTCGTGGACTTGGCAGCTCGATACCGAACAAAGGGTAATTCCTAATAATACAGACAATAAAGAAAGAGAGGGATAAGCTTGAGTTGCCTACAAAGGCAGAAAAAGGTAGTATTATTTTTTACCTTGAGTGAAGCAAACACGGTAGCTATTCTAGTAGCCATCATATTCAAACAAATATTAAAATGGCGGGAATTCTCAGCATCTTCAGCATAGAGGGTTTGCAATGCTTCCTCGTGATCAGTTAGAAATCCCTGAGTATATAAGTAAAGATCATGAGTGGAAAAAAAGATACATAAAAAAAAAACTCCATAACTATGACTTGCGATGACTCAAAATACAGAACTAGAAGATATTTCAGCTACTACATATGCTTATGCGGTTGCACATGTACATGCATGAGAGTAGGTACCTGATTGTCTATGGGGAAGTACTCCATGTTCATCTGCAGGAAAAAGGTAAGAGAGTTAAGAAAAAAAAACTCATACTAGAAGATCGAAAAACAGCAAGGAAAGTATTAATAATTGGTTTTACCTCTCTTAAGGCTCCAATGCGTGGTAAGACGCTTGAATCACTTTTGATGTGATTCACCAATTCTTTGGGGATAGTTGAACTGAAAAAAATATATGCCCTGAGAAATAACAAAAGAAGGGTAAAGAAGTAGTCAATCACAATGAACTGAGAAACACAAAGAATGTGGTTAAAAAGAAAAAAAATAGAAGTAGTTACTTCCTGTACAAGGGTTCCCTCCCAGACATGTCAGATAGAAACATAACAATGCTGCAACAGACAGACAGACAGAGAAACATAATAAATAAACAAACAAGAAGGACACATTCTCCAAAACAAATATAGGGGAACAGAGGAAAGGTACTTTTCTTTGGAAGGTTGAATGAAGTAGATAGCGTCCATGCCAGGCATTGGTTCCCTTCTCTTGAAAAGTTCTTCTACCACTGAGTTTGCAGTCAAAATCCATAGTTTTTTTGTATTTTAATTTTATTATATCAATCAACAGCTTTTTCTTCAGAAAGAAAGAAGGTTTGTTATTATTATTATCTTACAGGAAATGCCTTGATCGGTGATGTCAGCCATTTTGCAGGACTTTGACATAACTTTAACCGTAACTCTGTCCATAATAAGTATCTGCCATTAAAATATTTTGTAACACCAAAAATATTAGCAATTAGTCTCAAACATTTGAATCCTCTAAAGAAGAAGAAGAAGAAGAGGAAACACCTTCCAAGCTTTTGAATCCCCTGTTTTGGTGGATCCAAGCATCTCGTGTAGCAACCCTGAAAAATGTCATTAAATTAGGCTATAACAAAAAAAAAAAAAAAGAATAAAAAGAGAGAGATTACGATCGCGGCTGATTTGACGAAAGAACTTATAATCTCCTCCATCGCGGGGATGAGAGGAGGACTCTGAATCGGAGAAGGACATATTGATGGAAGAGGGTAAAGAGAGATGAGATTAGGTTG